AAGAACAAAACCTACAATCTTTTTTTTTTTTTTTGGTATGTTGAAAGGAGATGGACTAAGCCAATAGATTTGTGGCTTATATGTCCAAATAATAAACTGTTGTAATTTTTAGTCATGATTATGTATAAAACGTAACAAAAGAGCGGCCGTAATAACTGGAGTGAGCATGTTAAATGTAATTGTGTGTGTGTGTGTAAGTGTGCTTGTTGAGTTCTTGAACGTCAGACAATGTTGCAAACTTTGGCTGAAAACGAAAAGGAATGTTATGGTAATTGAAAATGATTGAACGCAAAAAAAAAAAAAAAAAGGAAAGAGAAAGAAAAAGAAAAATTCTAAAAGAATAAATTGGCTTTTCTAATAAAGCAAGTTAGTTCCCCGAGATGACGTACATTTTTTGCTGCAAAGAGATCGAGGAGACAGCCATATAACTTGAAGAAGCTAAAGGAATCTCTAATGCCATCAAGCCTGTGACATCTGAAGATTAGATGCTCAGCAGACAACAACATTGCAAACTTCACAAACATCACATGGTATAGCGCGAATCATTTTTAAATAAACTTTGTCATAAGTATGACCACTCATGAGTATATAAAGAATTTTGATTTCCCAGGAATTAAAAGAAGATACGGAGAAGGGTTTGAATTGAAATGTGGGATTTAATTTATAGAAAAGACGATTGGATTTAACGCGCGCGATTTCTTTAAATTCGTCGTTTAGCTGTTGAAGGATGTGGTTGCGAATTGCCCGAATTGCTTCATTGGGAGTATATATGTGATGGACAAAATTGTCCCATCAACACGAGCTCTCCCTGCATGAAAGTCGGCTTTTACATTTAAAAAAAGCCGCAGTGGCCAGGTACCCAAACGAGGTGACAGTCATCCACTTGAGATTCATGCAACATCTTGTGAATATCAAACACATATTCATCTTCTGCATCTCTTTTATTTATTAGAAGTAGAGCTGACCTGCTGTCAGAAAAAATAACAAACCTTCTGATACCATCGGAAATAGCAGCCTTAATAGCATGTCGAATGGCGAGCAACTCAATAAAAGTCGAGGAAAGTTCCTCTTCCACTTTAACTCGATGTACTGTTTCAGATAGATGTTTCACCACCGAGAAGCCAGATACATTATGTCCGACGGAACCGTCAGTGGCACATATATCGTATCCGTTGTTGTAATAAAAAAGGAGCTTTTCTTGGCATAACAACCTTATACAAGAGAAGTTGACATTTTGTTTTGAGGTAGAGATCGGTTCGAGAATGTTCATGAAGATTCTGCATTTGCTGGTAATGAAATTCAAGGGGGGAATTGAATCTAACTTATCAAAAATATGACGAAGTTTTTGATAGCAGAAAGTATAGCTGCAAGTGACAGTATCACTGAGAGATATAATTTCCTGAAAAAAGGAAGGATTGATCTTCTTGACTTTAATTAACTCCTTGGCAGTGCAAAAAAGGGCTCTTTCGGAAACTGGACATTCACCACATATAACATTGAGAATATGTTGAGGAGTTGAGGGGGTCAGTCCAGTACAACGCTTCAACATTCGGTTTTCAAATGCTTGTATACGTTTTTCAACATATTTTGGGAAATTGCAACATGTGGAATGTGCAAATTCAATATTCGACCTGACTAGAGATTTGTAAACGGTCAAAGCATTTTTGGGAGGCAAGCCTGCCTGATTGTTTGTCATGAGTTTGATGATGTTGCATCCGGACTGACAATCTTTGCACGCCTTTTCATAATGTCCACGAAGGGTTAAGCTGTCATTTAAAATTCTTCCAAGAAATCGAAGAGATTTTACCTGATTAACTTGGGTATCTTTGATAAGAAGTCTGATTTCACGTTTAGAACCTTTGGCAAAATAAATAGTGTTTGTCTTGCTGGGGTTAAAATATAAATTAAGATCAGCGCATGCATCGAAGAACAAGTTCGCTTTTATCGAGAGGTTATTGGCAGCTGCTGGAAAAGATGAATCCGCAGATACGATTAGAAAATCGTCTGCATATTGAAAAATGTGAGTTTTAACATCTTGAAGATCATGCAAAGAAGCTGCGTATAAATTGAAGAGTATGGGGCTTAAACAACTGCCTTGTGGGATACCACCGCATATTTCAACTTTTTCGGTACCCATCACCAACACACGCTTGGATAAAAAATTAAGTATCCACAGTCGCATTTGAAGAGGAATCGAAAAGTTTAGGAGAATTCTACCAAGCTTAATCAAGTTGACACAGTCATAGGCTTTGATGATGTCAACGGAGAGCATGACAACCGTTTTCCCTCCTTTTTTTAAGCTGGCTATGATAAAACACAGTTCACTAACGCACATATTCGTACATTTGCGTTTTTAATAGGCGTAAGACCGAGCTGGAATAATGTTCTTAGTTTTCAGGAAAGCAGTTAGTCTCTCCTTAACCATGAGGCATTGTAATAGGATTAACAATTGGAATGTAGCTCTTGAGCATATCTAAGTATTTTTTATTATTACGGTCATTCCATACCGCACAACCGCTTAATTTTCGACTAGAATGTCGATGACCATTGATATAATTCCAGAAGGAACGTGGGTTGCCATTACCACATAACTCTTTAATAGCGATGGCTCTATGTACCCTTTTCGCCTTTCTAACTGCAGACCTCCATTCTTCAATATTTTCATATATTCAACGTAGTTGGCTGGATTTACTCATTTTTTTTCTTGCAGCTTGGTATTTACGGAAAAGTGTTGACAGGGAAGGATTCCACCAAGGTTTAGGTGAGAAGGACTCAATGTCAGGAAAGTTGGTCACAGACTGAAAGGCACTTTGAATTGATGATAAATCAGAAGGAAGATCAACTTTAGACAGACGGTCCATAAGGAAGTTGCGTGAAATGAAATTTTCTATTTTCTTGACGGAATTGTTACAACTGTGGAATATAATGGGGGAGTGTTGACTTTTGACAATGGAAACATTGGACGTGTTCCAGTTGAAAGATAAAATAGTTGAATTAGAGAAAGTTAGATCCAAGACACTGCTCCCCGTGCGATCGCTCCGGTTACAGTGAAAGGTAGTATTGCCATTATTTAGGACACTGAAACTGCTGGAATTGATGGCATTTACAAGGATCTTGCCTTTGTTGGTCGAGACTTGATCGCCATACAAGCAATGTCTTGCATTGAAATCGCCAGCTAGAATCACATTTTGTTCGCCGTCAAGAAAGTCGCATAATCTCTGAATCTCATCACGAAAGGTTTGCACATCGAGACTGGGTGGAAAGTAGCATGAGGCTATGAAAAGATTCGGTTTCAGGTTGATGGTTTTGATGATGATGATGTCAACGGCAGAGTTATAGGGAATACGTCTGAAATTGACACCTTTCTTAACTAGTGTACTAACACCACTATAGCCATCATTTCGGCATTTGGTGGCTGAGGCATAATTCGAAACTTTAACTTCGAAACAATTTTCATCTTTCAGAAAAACTTCACTTAAGATACAAAAATCAATCTTGTTTGAATTTAAATAAAAATCTAGAAAAGATAGGTTACGTCGGACACTTTGAATATTATATTGTAAAAAGGATATCATGTTGAAACTTGAGAAAGAACCCTAGCGGATTTCCTCGCAGTACTGGATGCTCGAACGGGGCAAGAATTAGCACAGACAGACATTTTTTCTTCAAATTCCTTAATAAGATTGTGAGGGATCATCGGACGGATACTTTCTTGAATAGCGAGAATTAATCTTTCAAGTTCTGAAGACCGCAAATAGTTGTTTGTAATTTTCGGTCCAAGAAGACTTGTTCCAGACGGCTTGGGGGGTGTATTGGGAGAAGGCTTGGTGGGTGAATTGATAAGAGATTTGGAAGGAACCAGTTTCCTTTTGACGACAGCATTGTATTTATTTTTGGTTAAGATTTTGTTGGCATTTTGATCATCATCCTTGGTCGAAATTGCAGACGTGTTCACCAGTGGAGGGAAATTGCCGTCATAAGTGATGTCATCGAGACATTCGAAATAATTTTCGGAAAAATTCTCTTTGACCTCTTTATACGAAAGATTTTTAGTCGCCATTATCTTGTTGATATTTAATTCAACTTCCCTATTAGGGCAACACTTATTGAGAGCGTTATGCTAACCTGAGCCACAGGACAAGCACTTCATCACCTCACAATTTACACACTTCGGAGACTTTCCACAGTTAAGGCACCTGCTCTCTTTAGCTTTGCAGAATTTAGATACGTCACCGTATCTGCCACACTTAAAGCACTGCTTTAAAGTGGGTACAAAGTATTCGACCGGCAGATTACAATAGTTAAATTTTATTGCCTTAGGGAGGGCTCTCCCTTTGAAGCCAATTTTGATGCTGGTTGTGGGAATCCACTCGTCTTTGTTGTTGGGATTTCTTCCTTGGAAACGGACAGCGGACTTAATCGGAATATCGGATATGGCGTTTTTAATTACATCATCGACACTATATGTGCATGGGATGTTTCGAATAACTCCAAATCTCTCAGTGATCGACCTCGGTATGTATGCTTTTAAATTCTTTTTATTAAATTCATTATTCATAACAAAATTGTTGGCATTGGCAGCGGAGCTGAAAAGCAGGTTGGCTCTACCCCTGCTGACAACTTTTAATTCTTTTAAGCCGTACATACAGAAATCCTTCAACTAATCATAGAAATAGAGATTGGAGTTGAGGAATAGTCCATCTCTGTTCAACATACCAAAAAAAAAAAAAATATATATACATCATCGTGACTAAAAATTACAACAGTTTATTATTTGGACATATAAGCCACAAATCTATTGGCTTAGTCCATCTCTGTTCAACATACCAAAAAAAAAAAAAAAAAAAAAGGATTTAAAAATTAATTTCAAGTCTTCTTTGAAATCAAATGTGGAAAATTTATTTTTTTAGTAATTTTCTACAACAAGAATCTGAATTTAAATTGTTTTGCGCTAATTTTTTAAAAGAAACCCTAAAGTAAAATAAGTAATATTTGAAGAAGAAAGGAGGTATTAAAAAAATATGTCGTTAATTTGTGCAAGTAAGTTAAATTCGTTTAATAGTAATATAATAAATACTGTGCTTGAGAATATCACAAATGCACAACTTTTTTTTTTTTGTTGTTTCTTTAGTTACAAATGAGATGCCTGATATTGCGGTCGTATCGCCTTTTTCCGGAGCAATTTTCGAGAAGCGTATTATTGAAAAATACATAACCGAGAATGGCTGCGATCGAATTAATGGCAAAGAGATGAAAATTGAAGATTTAATTGAGGTGAAGACACCACCAATTGTAAAACCGAAGCCTCCTAGCGCTACTAGTATTCCGGCAACCCTCAAAACAATGCAAGACGAGTGGGGCGCTCTCATGTTGCATTCATTTACGCAGAGGCAACAATTGCATTGATATTTGTTCCCTCCAAGCAGTAGTTCTCCTCTCGCTTTCTTTTTCATCATTATTTATATATAGGTTTGCTATCTTTCCAGCTCTTAGTGCTTAGTTTGGATGATAATAGTTGTTCCGCTTCGCAAACAAATGTAATAAAAGGTAAAATAAAGTGAAAAACGCAAAATCGATCTAACATCGCATTATCAACAGCAAATTCTCATACTCACTGAACTAAGTCGTAACCTAAATAAGGAAATGCTGATAATAAATTACTGTGGCTCCCTTAGAAAGATATTTTTCCTCAAGGTAGGACGTTTATCCTATAAAATCTGTAGCTATTACGATAAATAGGATATTTACTCCAATACACAATAAATTCATCGTCCAATGAAGAAAAATGAAGCTTCACTTACACGTAAAGTTCATGATAATCAACCTTTATTAACATCTCGATGAACATGATTTAATCTCTTAAATGCAAGAAAAAAAGATGGAAAAATTTTGGTAATAAGGATTTATTTAATGTTTGTAAGTTATAAAATCGAAATTTTTGATTAATTGTATTAGCAAAAAGTTGTTAACTATAAAAAAGACTATACTTTGTAACCAAAGCCAATAGAAAGTATTCCATCCTTGGAATTCTAATAGGAAAGCAGGTAAAAGCCATAATCCTTGAGCTAATACCCACAAGGAAAAATAACTTACGGCAGTTCCAATTCCTATACTTTTAAAATTACTGAAGCATAAAGGTAATAAAGCCAAGTACCAAATGAAATATTGTGATGTCACAACCGAATTGTACGTTACCATAACAAACGTTATAGTAAAAATACAAAATGGCAAAGATTGTCGAAATTGACCGAAGGCAAAAGTTAAAAACACTATCATTATCAATTGCGGCATCAATACCAATAGTTTTTGTAAAGAGGACAAGCCCTCTGTATCGCTTCCCAGATATTGCATTAAAAAGTACAAGGAGAAATTATGACGTAAATCTTTTCGTACTAGGTGATAAATATAAGCTTCATATAAGAATTTAAAGCCATATAATTTGTAAAAAAGTAAAGTCAATGTAGTTAAACTGGTAACCGTACCCATAATCAATAACAATTGCTTTTTGCAAGGGCAGATAAGCTTTCTTATGAAATCCGCAATTCGACAAGTTGAGTGTTCACTTAATGCTAGATAGTAAGCCAAACTGAAAAATAATGGATATAATCGTAAATGTATAGCCAATCCATGCAAAATACCAGCATAAAAGATTAACAGTAAACTTAATCGTTGCTCGTTTACTTTGAATGCTTTCATGATCATGTATAGAGTAAGTATAACAATAAAGCTTGAGAAACTATCGCCATTACCGCGTGTAGATATGACGGCGGTAAGAGGATTGTATAGCCAAAAGCAGGCTGAGACTTTGGCAACAATTTCAGGACACTTAATATTAACGCTTTGTAAACAATCCGTTTTTTTCAGTCGAGAATATTGAAATCTAAGCTCATCTTTCACCAGCTTATAAATAAGTACTGCAACCCATATATCGAAGCCAGAATAGATTATTTTCCCAACAGCTGGATGTAAAAGCACACTAGGGATTTGCATAAACGCATAAATTGGACTGTAACGAAAAGTGTGTCGATTAAACGGAGACCCGTCGTTCAATATACCGCGCGCTCCGTCGACTACTACCTTGTAGTCAATATCCGTATAAGGCACTTCGGAATAAGAATCGTGTATTTCTCCATACACAATTAATAAAAGTCGTATAATCGTTGAGAAATATAAATGAGCAAAGAATCTGATATTAATTAATGAATGCAATGAATGCAACATTCTTCTTGCTTCTTGTTTATTACTTTTAACCGTTCGAACGAAATGTTTACATTAAGAGTTACCATTACAATGTAGTTTGAAGCAGTAGATACTACTTATGAGCATATATGGTAGTATACTCCGTTTAACCTTTTAATTTACTGTTCCGAGCTTTTTAAGCCTCTGTTGTCTGTAGTTCTGCTTTAGAGTCCTGTTCTCCACCTTTTCCATGGGGAAGGAATAGAAAAAGCACATGAAGTACAAGACCAAAAATACAAGTTCATAAAAGAACTGAGAAACTTTGAAAATGAATAAAAATATAAAATTCGGACTTTCATTTGACCTACAAATGTTGTATGCAAGAAAACCGTATCCTACTTAGTGATTTATTATTGAAAAAAAAGTACAGAAATTGTTGATCAGAAATATGACTTAAGGATCACTCTAAAAAGACCACCCCCGGCAACTCCAAAACATTCTCAACTATCATAAAAGATTCTCCAAATATATTAGGGTGCCCTATAACTTTCTTCTTTTTGTTTAATGCGAAATCAATAGCGGACATAGCCCGTCTTGATGAAATGATTATGTATGGGAATGTTGATGCCATCGACTATATCGCGGATTTTCAACGTGCATACTCTGACGAGATCCGAAGGGCGGCCACTACAGCCTTCATCTTTCAAATCAAAATATTTCCTGTTTAGCGGCTTCGACTTCGTATTTTATTTTATAAAAGAAGTCAAGTCTTATAATTTGCCAAAATATGAATGGTTACAGCGTGTTTTTACTATAATTACAATTTGGTTTTCATATCTTTAGCAGCTTTTTGCAAACAATCTTTAAACAATTTGAATTCTTTATCGCAGGTCCTGTATTCTATATTCAGATCACGAGTCACACAGGCCGCATATACAGTCGCAGAATGAGCACATTTACTCAATAGTATAGGATAATTACGCAGACGTTGGTTGGCTTTGCGCACGGACTCCATTTCCGTCTTTCTTAAACTTTGGCTCTTGTATAGGTTCAGCTATGAAAATGTCATATAGTGGCTTGGAAAATAATATTAGCATGGAAGTGGTTATAAAACCAATTTGAAATAATCTGGGATTGCGTTGTATCCAATTACGTTTTGGTAGCTGAGCTGTGCGTTTAAGTTTTCTTTTTTCTGCTTGGCGATCTAATAATTCTTGTATTTGAGGCGGCGGTCTATAAGGTTCACAAGGAGGTACGAAACGTCGCGACATTATTTTCTGTAACTTTTGTAAACTTCTGTTACTCTGTGAGGAGAAAAGGCAATGTTTATTCACCTTCTTAAATTTCTGTTATTTCTTTTATTTTAGGCCGATCTTCTCGTTCATTCAAATAACTACGCTGCAGATCAATACCAGAACAACACAATGACTCTCTATGCCACTTCACACAACATAAACGCATTTGTTCTAATACGTCTAAGCATTTACTTTCCTGGTAATTATTTTCTATGAATTATATAATAAAAATATTATTCTTAAAAGTCATGTCCTTTCGCAAGAATTTACCTTTTAGACAAGCTTGTATTCGACACGCGTTCTTTTTACAAGGATCCTTCCTAGTATCAAAGGACATATATAAAAACTACACAATAAAATTTTTTTACTTTATTCACCGGAAAACCTCATTAAACGAATTTTTAAGATTATGGAGAAAAACATGAAAAAAGCACAAGAACAGCTGATCGGTTTAAAAAAATAGAGTTGTCACAGTTGTATTTGTGTATCGTATATTTAAATGCGATTTGTTATTAGAACGCAAAACAGTCGAATCCACAAAAAGATTATGCACAATGAAGCGTAATATGCGCCACAACGGGCCGTCATTTTCGTTTTCGAGTTGAAAACTCTCAGGTGGTCAACACAACAGGCAGCCGCGCTTTTACAGGGAAATGTATGGTTTTGGAACCAAAAGCAGCAAAATCAACGTAAGCACAAACAATAAATTTATAAAAAAAAACAATATGGAGGTTAATATGAAAGTAAACAAGCTTGTTTGTTGATACATAATTTGGAAATTATCGTTTATTGCAACAATTTGATTTTTGATATTTCAATTCCTATAAGATGTCGTAACAAGTCGGCAAGGTTAAATTCTCATCCCGTAAATAAGAATAACGCATCATTGTGTGGAAGCACTAAGGCAAATCATATGTTTTGCAGATGTACATACAATTAAGACAAAAACAAGACCACGCACAGAATACATACAGAATATTTTTTTAAAAGTAGAAATTATTCATCTAATTTATAGTTGCTTTACACTAATATACTCTTTTTTTATATTATGTAAGAAATGAGAAACAAGCAATAAAGGCCATTTATTTTAAAGTTAAAATATATTCATTAAACTGGTTTTTAGAGAGTGATAAATTTGTTTCCAAGTTGGGGATCAATTAATACACAAAAATGTATCTAATATTAATCGTTGGACAAGCTTGTTTACTTTTATATTGGTTTTCTTATTGTAATTTTTTATAAATTTCTTTTGTACGCTTACTTTAATTTCTTTATTTTTGATTCTAAGACCATATGGTTTTGTTTACATTTGCCTGTAAAACAGTATGGTAGCACGGCTACCCGTTTTTAACACAAAAATGAAAATGACGCTTGATTGTGTTAACCCCTTAAGTGTTTGAAAAGTTTTGCTAAAAATTTTAATCATATATACAAATTATAAAATAAAAAAAAACATTAAAAATAATGCAGTATAGAGACAAATTGTGATCCGTTGCATTTTTACATTAAAATTAGTTGCCATTTTTCACCCTCTAACTTTTTTTTTCTTTTTTAATATGAGGTATATTGATATGACGGACGTCAAAATCAATTATTGGCAAGAATCAAATCTTATTTCCCGCCTTAGATGTTCACCGCTTTCATTATGCTCAACTTAAAGCTTCGAAGCTTGATAGGCGAGCAAAAATGTTTTGTGTATGTGCAGCTTGATTCTTTAGATGAGTACCGTTATTCATATAATCCGGCAACTCTTCAGAAGCACGCCAAATCAGATTTTTTCTGTGCGTTCTTCATGGGCCGAAAAGAAAAAGTTTCAATCAATTTCTCTAGAAGATCTTTTCACATACGTTAAAAATGTGTAAAATTATATACTTCTTTTATTAATATACTGCACGTTGATTAAAATTCATAAAAATTAAGAAGGAAAAAAATCCTATATTGTTCGGACGACAGACCATCAGAGGGGTTTACAAATTGTCATTGTATTTTAGAACAAGAGCGTAGTGTGTAGTGTAAGAGTGTACAAAGAATAGTTGTGTAGAAGCAAGAAAAAAAGTCAATTAGAAATTACTAAAGTAAAATTACACCACCACCACTATTGAAAAGGAAATTCTTAGCTTAAATACTCTTCTTAATTAAAAATATGCCTTCAAAAAAGAAAAAGTATAATGCACGTTTTCCAGCGGTAAGTTGAAATGAAAAGTTCACAGTAAACAAAAATGAAATGTATATTTTTGTTTATATATATCATGCATATTTGTTTAATGAACAAACTAAATAGAAACATTCCGCAATACCTTCGATAAACATATAAATGTAAAATGAAATCATGTTGCATATCAATAGTGACAAAACGAAAAAAATAAAAAAAATGAAAATAAATAAAATTCTTTAATCAATAACTTATATATATATATATATGTGTTTGCAGGGTCGCATCAAGAAGATTATGCAAAGTGATGAAGAAGTGGGTAAAGTGGCTCAAGCAGTGCCAGTTATAATTTATATCCTTTTTGAACTCAAATGTGTTTTAGTAGCTTTTTGCTCTAAGGTTGATTCTTTTTTATATCTCACGGTTTCCTTAACTACAAAAATAATGGGATTATTATCCTGCTTTATTTTCTTTTTTATGATTACCTAGAACATTGGAATTATTTGTGGAATCGCTGTTAACAAAAACTTTAAAAATTACCAATTCTCGAAATGCCAAAACCTTATCAACGTCTCATATGAAACAATGCATAATGTCGGAGCAGCGATTCGATTTTTTACGCGAATTGGTTAAGAACATACCGGATATAAGTGTGGCTGAAGAAGCGGCCCAATATCAAGACGATGACAATCAAAGTTCTAATGAAGAACCCTGTAACGATTCGGATACACCATACGATTTAAGTATGCCATCAACTTCCACCCAAAGACACCATCACAATTCCTTTAACGGTGGCGGAGGAGAAGGCGATAATGGAGATGATGCCGTCAGTCCAAATGGGTTCACCACACAGCCCAAACAAGCAGACATCGAGCACAGCAGCCGTTATCAGCATGTGAAACGTGAAACACCAGAGTCGAGCAGTCATCGGTTAAAATTGAGACGTTTATTACCGAAATCTTCAAATTCCTCTTCTTATTTGCCCACAATTTTGCCCACAGCAAATACTAATAATGTCAATAGTGCATCTGTAAGGCATTTAAATGTTTTGACAAATTTAAGCGGCACCAAACTGTTGCGTTCGGAATCCTCTCCCTTACCGGAACCTTATACAACGCAACTAAAAACGCAACGTCTCAAACATCAGTCACATTCGCTTTCATCGAATAGCAACAATCGTCAAAATACTCTTACAAATGCAACCACGACGACAACAGCAACAATACCGCCATCATCATCATCATCATCATTATCATCATCGACACCATCACCAATAACTATACCAAATAAATTACAACAAAAACAAACTGCCATACCCGCGCCTATCGTTAGCATCGATTTTTGCAACAAACCTGTAGTCAAAATAGATTATAGCAGTTTATCAGCAACGGATGCAACCACAACGACAGCAGGTTCCTGCCCCTCGACAGCACCCGCCACTATGGCAAATACATTCAATTTTTCGGCTGATTGTGGGGCTGCCACACCAGTTATAAATATAGATCTTTCCAATATGGTGGCAAATGTTGCAACCGATTTAACCACCACCAACAAAAAAACATCACAAGCTAACGTAGTTGGTATTGGTGTAACTTCCGCATCAAATATTGACGGGGTAACCAAAGTTTCAATCGATTCAAAGAGTTCATCGAACGATTCGACAGTAAGATCTACATCGATAATATCATCTAAAAGCAACCCCTGTTTGGATTTAGATGAGGACTATGACGATTTATGAATTCTCCCCTACTATTGTTCTTCTCTCTCCCCTTCTGCAGCAACGGACTAAGTTCAAATGAACTAATGACTTTATATCTTCAATTATTATAATTTTTTTTTTTTTTTTGTAGTTTTTAATTATCGCTGGATATATTAAAAACATTTGTAAAAATTCTAGAAGTTGATATAATTGTAATAAGTAATAGAAAGAAAGAAGGATGGTTTGTAGCGTCCGGAATCAATTCGTAAAGATTCTAAAAAAATGCTTTATTCTTGATTAATGTAAGATTCTGTGATTTAACTGGACTCATATGTCCACAGAACCGGTATCAAGTTCTTGAAATTCTCGAAGCTTTAACCCGATAACCCCTAATAACAATGTGCTCAAAGCATGCGCAAGACATGAATGAATCTGTATTTTTCGTTGGTATGGTATTAAGATGAAATCTGAAAATGATTGAAATTAAATCAAAGTTTCGAAGGGTTTCTTCATCGACTTGGAATTGAACAGTGACAGTAATTCTTGTTACCAAATCGAATTGTGTTTTGAACTCCGATTGTTATTCTCTCGTTCTATCCTAATTTGAGCAAATTAATTATGGCCTAAAGAAAAGGAGTTTCCAAGTGCGAAAAAACCATCATTTTTTTCCTATATTCACCTAAATTGCAGATATATGTGGAGTCTTTGGCTTAAGGTGAAAAGCTATGCACCGTCTTGCGCGCTCCGGAGTGACATTGAACCGAACAGATGAAAATATATTTTAATGCTTCCGACGCTTTCACTTTAAATCCTCTCTTATGTTTGGGTGTCGTCTCGTCTCCCATTTATGTTTTCAATAAGTCTTCTTCTAATGAGTATATATAACTATCTTTGCATTTTCGGATCGTCAAATATTTAAAAAAATTCAATTCATCCTCTTGCTCACACAATTTCGGTGCGTCAAATATTTTAAAAAATTCATACCCGTTTGCGACATTCAGAAGGAAGTTAAAAGGTGTATGTCTACCCGCCCAGCCCTGCAATGTCTGTTCACAGAAACAATGGGATACAGTTAAAGATATATTTAAAATTGAGTAAAGTTAATTTTTGACAAAATATCTTAAACAAAACAAATAAGTAACCGTCAAATGAAAATTTTAGTGAATTTGGAACGATTTCAGCCGAACTTAATTCAGCGTATTAAGCAGGATTCCTTGGATTTTTAGTCGAAGCCGTTTACGGCGGCATAATACAATCATGTCCAGCATATATGAATAGCTCATCTTTGGATAGTGTCCGTAGAGCGACTTATCATCGTAAAAGATAAAACGTTATTTGGATACGCCGTACCGATCGAAACGAGTAATAATAAGAAAGAGAAACACAGGATATGGCCAGTGCATAACAACGCGGTGCTTCCGAGGAATCCTTAAGAGAATTGGAATTATAGGGCCGAGTGTTGTCAAGCTGAATAAGTGTTTTCGGTATTATTATTAAGCCTCGTCTATTTATCCCTATTCTTTTATATGCCATCATTTTATTTACTCTCTCCTGAAATAAAAATAAAACGAAAGGTATTGAAAATAAATTCAAATACTTGTCGTATTGTCGATTGACAAGTAAAATTCGTTAAATGCTTATTCTTATTGGATTTTAGTTGTCAATCGACAATATGCAAAGAGAAAGAACGTAAAGAACTTCATAAGAGATAAGTATACGCTCCGAAGAAAATTAATATATATATATATAAACATATATGTGACGTTAGCAAACAGCAAGTATACGACCTGTTTTACCAATTAGGAAAACTGAATATTTCCTTAAAACACTTGAGAGTTTCGGAGTCTTCTAATTTATTAGGTGTTTGCAAACATTTTGATCATTCTTTCGCTTGGAAAAAGCATTTATTGAGAAAAATTGGAATGACGTCTATTAATCAAAAGCATCCATCCATCATTTTCTGCAACATTGTACAATACTTTTGGCAATAAGGCGAAAGAACTGGTATTGGTTTGGCAGCGATCCACTCGCCGACCCATTTCCGCATTTCTTCAACTTTGTGGACACACGTGCCGACTAAGCCATTGCTGCCCAGATCTGAACAAGTGATGATCACGATGATCACTTGTCTAGTGATTACGTTGGGTGTGGCAGAACATTCCATTCGAGCGGTCAAAAAATGGAATTTCCATTCGCCATTAGTCACAATAAGCCTGTGCACGTGTTCGTTGGACTTAGTCAAGAGGTTACTTCAGATAAACCACAAAAGTAATGAATTTTGAAGGCTCCATGATTCGGCTGACGCTAGTGGTGGTTATTAGGATTAAATGGAAAACTGTTATCTCGTGTAGGGGAATGTCAACACGATCGAATTTAACCATTACTTCTTAGAAATCGCTAATCAACATTTTTGCAAACACCTAATTTATCGCAATAGTTTCCCATAATTCGTCCATTGTACGTAACGTCCTATTTCTGTTTCATTTCTGAGTGATAATGAAAAAAAAAAAAGGACAATGGAAAAGTCCAAAATTAAGTAAGTCTTTATTTAAAAAAATGTATAACTTTTCATTTTTTAAAAATATACAATTTTTTTTTTTTTTTTTTTTACATATATACATATATATATGTATATCCATATACATATATGTATATGTCTTTTGTGTTAATTTTTTTCCTTTAACATAATTTTACAAATTTCAATAATTTTTTTTCTTTGCAGCAAATTGATGGGTTAAAGTTAAGTTTGTCGGTAGTTTGTAGACGCATTTGGGTCTAGAGATGCTTTAAGCACAAATTCTTGTCTTAAAAAAAAAAAAAAAAGAAAATTTCAATATAACAAAATACATGATATTTAAAATTTACATTTTCCAAAATTTTCCAAAAATTACTTTTCTGCCTTTTTTTTTTTAAATCTCTCTCAATGAAATATAAATTAAAATGTTAAAATAAAGTGTTGCAAATTTACGGTTCGGTGTTGGTTTTGTACTTTTTTTTTTCCTTTCTTTTTTTGTTGTTTTTTTTTTCTTATATATACATATATATATATATATATCTATATATATCTATATATATATATATGTAGCCTTGTAGTCGATTCATAATCATTCTAATCTTCGGGTACCTTCCATTGCAATTGCTTGCCGCGTTCGTATAAAGCTTTAATTGATGTCGTGAATTTGTTATCCTTTAGCAATTGCAAGTAATGTTTGTACAGCTGCAAAGTAGTCCGTGCATCCTCGACTGAATCGTGAGTTTCCGATTGTATTTTAGTGCCCAGAAAATGCCAAGCCAGAAATCTTAACGAGACCATACGATGATGTGGCATATGAAATAAATGTACGGTATCAATTATTTGCTCCGACGGTACGCATATATTAATAACGCTGTAAGAAAATGTACAAAATTAAACAAACAAACAAACAAACAAGAAAAAAAAAGGAAAAAATTAATTTTCAAAATTTTTTCTAATAAATTAAACTAACCGAAAATCGTTTTTCAGACCATGACCTACAAATAGAACACCGACATCCACAAGATATTTGAGCTTTTGATATGAATACTTTAGTGCCGTTAAACGTTTGCTGCTGAAATTTGCATCCAAATCGCCCGGTTTTATGCCCGAAAATTGCGTAAGATAATCGACCACTTTTTCCTGCGTTGATATGTAGTCATCAAGAAACGGTATCCCTTCATTTGGCCCTTGTCTAAAATGAAAAAACAAAAGAACGTTGGCAGATATTTTTAAAAAGTCATTTCATCAACGGGGCATGAACTGTTCCAACTTTACTGCATTTCGCTCTTCGTATCGACTTTTGAATTTAAAAAAAAAAAAAAAAAAAAGAAACAGCGGGATCCTTGATTTTCTCATTGTTAAATGAAGGGATAAACTCACTTTACATTCATATTCCGATAATAACGATAAGAGAGCGACAGAGAGAGAGAGAGAGAGAAGCGAAAACGGCTTTTCAAAGCAAAGCAACAATTTTTGACTACCAAATAGACTTTGAGTACAATTTTCCGAGAGAGAGAGAGAGAGAGAGAGAGAGACAATGCCAGTGTAAAAGCTTTGGCCTACTTTATATCAGCGACTCCCAAAGAGTGCGCTGAAAAAACAAAAGGCAATGCTTTGGTTACCAGAATTCCTAATAGTAGCATTCCGAACGCTGCGATTAGTTTTTAAAATATTCCCATTCGATTTTTCGGAGTTTAAAACAAGATAACTCTTTTTTTTCTCTGCTTCCTCGAAGCTTTTCTGCTTTACTTAGCAGTAGTATAACTAACTGTGCGAGCTTTTTTACTTATTTTTCTTAATGTTTACCACTTCAACAAATGCTCGGGCATCCCTTCGAACAGCACTTGAATTGTATTGAGCTAAATACCTACCCATGATGATTGTAGTTGTTTTTGTTTTGTTTTTTTTTTTTGTTTTAATACATTTTCTTACCCGCGTATACATGAAATACGCGCTACACTCAGGTGACATGGTTTTATGGTTGCTGTTTTGCCATCTGGTCTGATTTCATTCTCTTCGGGATTTAAAGTGACAAACTCAGCATCCATAGCTACCAAATCACCGGCTTGCGGCATTTCATTCGCCTGCAATGGTTTAAAGAGAACATCACTTGGATTATTCACTTGTAAAGGATTTAATATATCCTAATGAGAGAAGATAGAAATTAAAAATAACAAAATAGATTATATTGTTATAAAATCAAAGAGATTTTATGTTTCAAATATTACTTGTATAAAAGGATTAAATAAAGGTTGCAACTCAAGTGGATTTATGTCCTTAGTTTTTAAAATCTCTTTTTCCATATCGCTTTTATCACTATCCAGATTACTATAAAATAGTATGCATGGGACTTTCCAATCTAATGTAAACCAAACAGATTCCTGATTTGAAACGGGTGATATGCTAAGAAAGACGGCCATAAGAAGATTTCATTATAACTTGGTGTAACTTTTCCAAATTTTCTTCTTTTTTTCTTTGCTTACCAGAAATCATTGAATATATACCATTGGGGTTGTTCGTCAGTCGCACTTTTATTATCCATTTTTAAGGTATGATATTTCTTGCTGACGTTTATCAAAGAGACTAAATTTTTTTGTGTGCCATCGTCTACTTGACACACCACCGCGTGCAGAGAATATTCCCGATAGCTTTCTTGATTAAAAATCTTTAACTTGTGTAGTAAATGTTTCGATGCATTAGTTGTACCGCTTTCGGATAAATATTTCGCCTCATCGCCTTTCGTATTACTGCTATCAGTTTGTACGCTTAGTTCGCCCTGCTGTTCATTGATCGCCATCGAAAAGTACAATGGAAACCAAGAATTTTGGCGACTACAAGGTGAAGTAGTCGTATTGCTGGGTGTTTGATTTACATTCGAAGGAGATTTCCTAAGGAAACGATATATATAGAAAGTTAGTCAGGGAAATTTTACCTTACACTTACCTATCGGGATGTAAAAAATGACAATCACTGCGTGAACAATTGATGCCATAACGGCAAGGCTTATTCGTATTTAAAGTGGCCGGACTTTCTGTCAAATTATGAGTATTATTACGATTTAATTGTTTGCGGAGAAAAGCCAGATCTTTCTCATTACTCAAACCGCAATTAATGGCCAAAATTTGTGGTAAGCCGCTAACCTATATTTTGGAAAAACAAAAAGGGACGCAAATGTCAAATGCCATTAAGACGTTGCAAGCATTATATAAAACCTTAACGCTTTGCTTGGTAGGGGAGAACTTTTTGCACTTTTCACAAAATGCCTGAATATTTTTTTCGGAACTCAATGAACCTTTAAGTATGGTGCCGAAATTAAAATATTCCCCAACATCTTTTCCAGGCATTTGTACGGGATATGTTAGATTACAAGTTAACAAAATGCTTTGTTTCGATTTCTGTAAAAAGGAAATGACATATATATATGTATATATATAGAAAATTTTTAAACAAAAACAAACACACTCACTTCTTCATTACACTTAAGACATCTGTTAATGGTAATTTGTTTTGTGCCAAATAATTTACTAATTTCGGTCTCTTCATTGATTTTGCTACGTTCGCGTTCATCATCTTTTATGCTTTCATCTAAAAAGAAAAAATAAGTCAAATTGTCATATTTCCTTTCGATCTTCGAATCTTTGAATCTTCGATACCATCACCTCCGATTGTTTTTCGTTAATTAGGGTCGTGTTAACTGGTGGATCACATTTCATCTATAACTTTAAGATGGCTTTAGTTAATGTTTGTGTCAAATTTCAGCTGGATTAATCTCAACTGCACATATATATATATGAGGGGGGCATTCATGAGAATTTCTTAAAAATTCTCCATTTTTTCGGAGATTATTTCAGTTTTCTAACTATTTTTGATGAATTTTACACCTTTCGATGCGAATTTCAACAGCAGATAACAACAAACAAACGCTTGACGAGAAAGTCTTGGCAAACCGATATATGTAAATATCCATTTACATTATTCAATTGGAAATTATTTCATTTCTATTGCTGTTGAAATCGCTTCGTATAGAAGACGTATTGATACCAGTCGAGTTAAACTGCACTGCTAGCGTCCAAAATACTTTTTCGCTTCGACTAGTCGATCGCTAATTATGTCATCTCTTGATTTACGCGAATTTTTTGGACACTAAGAAGGAAATGACAATATTTTCATATACAGAGTTCTGGGTGGCGAGTGTAAACATTGAATTTAAAACTATGAATATAATAAAATAAAAAAAAAAAAAGACTATGATACACTTTTTATAACTGCAAACGTTACACACCGCTTTTCACGTCTATAACTTGAAACATATCTCCGTTAGATTTCATTGGATCCATATCATCTTCTATGTAAGCATTTGTAGGCAAAATAGGCGGTTTAACTGAATAAAAAGGAAAAAAAAAAAAAGAAAGAAAGTTTGAAATGTTAAATGCAAATACAATTAACCCATTACTAACGGTAAGGGCTTTGTCCATATATAAGATTACTGAATCGGCTATTCTTATATGAATCCAAAATCTCATAATGCATTTGATGCAAAATAAATCGATTCCAATTCTGTAAATAAAAAATATAAATCATTTGATATTATATTTGTCCATCATTGCTTACTTGGCTTAAACTTATTAAGTTAACATTAGAGGATCGATCGGATAGAATTAATCCAAGAGCTGAAGCCTCTGGAACGGTGCGAAATGAACGCAAAAAATTGCTAGCTTGACAAGGTGTAGAAGCTGGATAACAAACGTTGATATTTATTATCTCAAAGCTATGCTAATAATCCGTTTCTATATACTCACCCGTACTCTTGTCCAACATATGAAACAGAAAACCCAATTCACAAGTTAAACAAAACTCTTTAGAGCAGCTATGTTCGATTAGTTTCTGCCTTAAAGGTTCTATAAAGTATAAGATTTGTAGCATCGCGTTGCAATAAGAGTTGGGTAGTGTAGCTTCTAAACCTGCAAAGCAAGTCTGATTGTGTTGTTCAAAATCGAAATCTTGCGTACCCAGCTTCGAGTACTTCAAGTCGACTTTCCGGTAACGTCGTGGTATAATTTTAACATTGTTATCGGATGATTTAACAACGCTAGTTAAATTATTGCCCGCCCCTGTGAAAAGTGTTAAGTAGAATAGATGTTAAAACTAAGCGCAGAGAGAAACGCAAGCAAGAGAGATTTCCTTCGACGCATACCCTGCCTTTATGGGCAGTTATGTGTTGATGAAGGCATTCCCGGTAATGTGATTTCACGTGATTTACCTGCACTTCCAGCATTAGGACATTCAGTTATATACGGTATTTGATTACGCGTCTGGGTGCGCGGATTGGGTGAATATCCAATCGGTCCTTGCATTTTCATGTTGTTCAAAACTTCCTGTTCTATTGGTTTCGGACGGCGATATTGATAACGCAATAGCTCGGCCGGCCAATCGGAGAAGTAACGTGTCCCCGTAACCAAGTGCGGCAAAACTATTGATGATAAGGGGAATGTGGTATCAGTAATAGGTACGATGGGTAATTGAGGTACTGGATCAGCAAATTCCGTATCACGAGAGAAAGCATTAAATTGTGGTTGGGGAGTATTTACCGCAGCTATAATACTTATATGACCAGATTGATCCCCGATTGCCATTACTTGCGACGAAGAGCTTATATCAAAACTTAGTACACACTGGCTACTGCTGTTATTAATGTTATACATTGAAACGCGTGGTTCACTTAACTCGACGGTATCGACTAACTGTACTTGGCCATAACTGGAGACCACGACTAAACGTGAAGATTGCGAGGGTAAAAATTTCAATAATTGTGGATCCACTAAAACTGGTATAGGCGAAACCAAGCGCAACATTCGCAAATCGTAGACCATCAAGAAACGATCAATTGCTAAAGTACTTTGACGTCCGCTATAACCACACGATATTAGGTAGTTGCCCTGAACGTCGAAATCAGACAGACTTCCCGTGTGAGTTTTGATCGTATGCTCAACGTGCAAAGAGTTCAAATCACGCAAAGTAACTGTACCAAATGGATCGCCGGCGAAAAGAAGACGAGAATTTTGTCGCAAAACTGTACAACCGGCAGAGCCAACATTTTCCTAAAAAAAAAGCAAGAAACACTTCTGTTAAACTTTGGTTAAAGCATTTTGTTTTTGCATTGTTTTGCCACGATGAATATAGACAGTATGCGGATCAGCATGCCTTGGTATTGATATCTGCTACATGTTAAAAGCTCTTGATATGTATGCGTTAGTATTTTGTACGTGCTTGTTGAGATCGTAAAATAGACTCGACATATGTGTACCTAGGTTCGAAATTTTGCGAATTCGAAAAAGGACATCACTACAGCCCCTATAGCTCTTAAAATTTTAGGGATCTCGGATGTGTATTTGTGGGTAATGTAAATGGAATGATAAAATTGTTCGACAATTTCCTTATGAGATGATATCATTCTACAAGAAAGCTCACCAAATTTGTTTCCTTTAAGCTTCTTAAATCAAAATCGATCATTTCTTCTTGTAGTCCGGCCATTATTAGGCGATGTGGTGACAATTGCTGCATGCAAACCATTTCCGTTAAATTTTTCGATCTAAAATTGATATTTCCTAAATTTAGTCTGCGAGGAGAACTAAAAGATAGCTTTACCTGTGCGTAAATTTGGGAATACCTCTCCGTATTTGATGTCTTAAAGAGGTTTGAGTTAAAACCAATATACCCGCATCCATTGTATCAATTTGCCGCACTATATCGCTGGCATGCACTTGAAATGAGGTATACTTTTGCAAGCTGCTACTAAAATAAGATGTAACATGACCCTAAAATATTTCATAAATTTAGCAAAATATAAACTTAAAAATCAATCGTCTTACTCCTTGGTTACCCATCCATAATAATTCTTCATAATCATCAAAAGCTACTGCCGAGACTCCATAATTCTCGCCTCCATCTGCTAATATAGGTACCAATTCCATGTAATCCGATTCACTGGAGGAACCTATGTTAAAGCCACCGAAATTTGGTGAATAATGGGCACTTGGACGTTGGCCACCTCCGTCATAGACATCTAAGCAATAAACGACAATAGATTTACGAAAGTTTCTGTATCTTTGGCCTCATACTTACTCAGCATATCAACAAAATCCATCTTGTGAAAATTATACCTTAGGATTTATCTTTTACACAATTTATTTAATTTATTTATTTATTTTTTTTTTAGATGTTGAGTTAAGATGGACCAAGCCAATAAATTTGAGGCTATATGTCCAGATTTATTCAATTTATTACATTGATTTTCCTTACGTTTTCTTTGAATATTCTTTGTTTGTTGATTTCGTGTTCGATAGCATTTTTTTTATATTTTATGTAAAGAAATATGTACAATTAATACTATTGATTTACAACTCTGTCTGCAAGTTTTAACTACAACTCTGCTTCTTTTTATGCTATGTAGGAAGATTCAAATCAAAGGCAAGTGATATAAAATTTTTCGTTTTCAGTGTGAAACACAGTGTAAAAATATATAATATTAAATAATTGCGAAATTCTTTCTAATTAGCAGTTAAGAATATCCAAAATCACATCCTTCTTGAGGACAAAGGCGAAGAGAGTTCAGAAATATGATACAAAATTAAGCTGGGTAGTCTTGACAAAAAGATCATTTTGCATGCTACAAGGACTTAAACAAAATATCTATCTCGAAACGGAACCATGCAAATTGCAAAAAAAGGGATTTTATTACATAACTTTATTTATTGTAAAATGTTTGGATCGCCAATGCGCTCGCGCAAACGCTCAATTAATAAAAAAATATCCGATGACCTATAGGATAATTAAACGTCTAATAACTAATAGGAGTAGTATGTTGTAGTATAGAACGAGATTGACTTTTGCTTTTTTAACGTACTCTACTAAGACGCTGAACGAGTTAGTTTCGATTTCCTTTTTTTGCTTAAAATACTTTTTTTTACTTCAGGTTTTGTACTGGAAACGCGTTGTTCGAAATTTCGTTCCTTCTCTTTGTTTTGACAATTTTTTGAAAATATTAGATATAATTTATTCAGTCATTTTATTCTTAAATGACATTGAATGATGTGCAGTACAAAATGCTTTCAACATATATTTTAGTTTAAATATACCTTTAGAACAATATGGCAGCGCGACTGCCCATTGTGTTGACACTTTGGAGTTTTTAACCCGAAAATGGAGAAGACGTCTCAGGGCGCGATACAGCGACGCGTTATTCCTATTTTGGGCTTGTACTTCAACTTTGTCGACTTTTCACAAAACCTTACGGGAATTGTCAAATCGTATGATTTTGGATATATACATACAAATAAAACAAAGAGAACACAACATATAAGAAGAAGTAAAGGCAATTATTTTAAATTTAAAAATTATTTATCTAATTTATGTTTACCTTACATTGATGTACAATTTTAATATGTTTAATACGTGGTTTCTAATTGGAGTTTATAGTACGCGTTATTTTGTAAGAAATGACAAACAAACATTAAAAACCATTTATCTTAAAGTCGAAACATATTCATCAAATTGTTTTTTAGAGAGCGATAGATTCCAAATTATGGATCATTTAGTACGCAAAAATGCATGAGCGTATATGCTTTCAATCTTCGTTATCACTAATACAATAAAAAAATTATTTACATTTTTATTAACTTTTTCATTGTTATATCTTTATAAAATTGTTTGCGTTTACAATATGGTAGCATTGTGTTTAGCATTTGGGATTTTTTAATCCGAAAAAGAAAACAAACCCCTCTTTGCGTTATCCCCCTAAATGCTTAAAAATGTATTTACAAATAGATAAAAGTAAACTTTCTAACAATCCGGCAACCATAGATGGTCACTTTTATCAATTGAATTATCGTGTACATTCCTTCAATTTTCTCTCCAAGTAATGATGAGCAAAACAATTCAATATTGCCATAAAAAATAGTTTGCAACACGAGAGCTAATTAAGATCATGTAAATAAGTAGAATTCATAGAAATTAACAATAATTTTAAATGGGTTTATAGTTAGTTGATGCTTAAGGAAAACATGCAAAATTTCTAAACGTAGTATTTTGAGGCAAAACAACAGCAAAAAAGAAAAGCTACGAAAGGAAAATTGTGTTTTGGTTGCTTGTATGACGGTCAATTCGTAAAGGATAGAAAAGAAAGAAGATAACAAATACTAAAAGAATAAAGAGAAACATGGATAATATTGCCAAGGTTGAACATCAAGAAGAGTGCAAGGAAATTTGTCGCGGCAATGAAGACGAGAAATATGAATCGTTACCGATATTGAACAAAGAGGATGGCAGCTCCATGTCGGACAGCAACATCGACAGCAACAGCTCCGATAGCAATTCAAGTAGCTATCAATTGAATGCGTTGCCTGATGAAATGTTGGAATTTATATTAACTTATTTGCCTCCTTACAAAGACTTAAAAAACTGTAGTCTAGTATGCAAACGTTGGCGTAGCATTGTAAAAAGTAAGTATCTCAGTTATGGCCATTTGATTTAATTTATTTATTAATTGTTTTAGATCTTATCAGACGATCAAAAATGAATCTACACAAAGGGTTAATTGATTTTCGTCTCCGATGGGAAATCTTTTCTCCACAGTCTGCTGGAACTTTAGAGTTGCGTAGCTGCATACCTAAAACATCTATGTACGTAATAGCAGGACGTTTTTCTCATTCGGCAGTACGTTATAGCAACTACATGTATGTGTTTGGTGGCGGCTCCTCATCGGATACCACATTTAATGATTTATGGCGCTTCGACTTGTCGAAAATGCATTGGGAACGTCCGTTTTCTATGGGCACGTATCCCTCACCTAAAGGTAGTGCTTCCATGGTATGTTGGCAGGAACAGTTGATACTATTCGGTGGGTGGCGTTATCCATCATTACATCCGCCTCATCAGCCGTGGTGTCTGTTTGATGAACTTCACTACTATGATTTAATTAAGAATCGTTGGACTGTAGCTATAACCACACATGGCCCACCACCGATGGCAGGTATTTGTATTTTATAAGTACATTGGAACTTTTAACAAAACATTGAACAAAATTCTGTCTAAACATAAAACATATTTTTTATCGATGGGGCCTAAAAAATAAGCTCGTGGGGTCCAAATTTGGTACCGTAAAAATCTATACACCTATAGTGGATCAAATTTTATCATGAATACAAATTCAGATGCTCTTGCCGTATAAGCCGGTAGTTTTCGTAGGCAAGGTTAATCGGTCCTTTCGATCCAAACTTTTCACATCGATTTAAAACGCCGCAACACTTTACTTAGTGATTTTTGTCGAGAAGTTTTGCAAACTCTAACAATTCTTTTCACAAAGTCCATGCGCCAAGGCAAGCCACTATACCGCATTTCATGCAAATATCTCAAAAAATGTGTTGAAAACAAAAAAAAAAGGAAATCCACAAGGACAGACAGAGAAACAAGCAGACAAACTTAAATCGATTCAAGAAATGATTCAGACTCGACCTTTAAAATAAGAAGAGGGGGCTATCTTAAGTTCTTCTGGATATACACGCATGTAAGCATATAATGTGTGGCATACTGTACCGCCGGTACAAAGAAATTTTTTTTTTTGAAGTTGAATGTTGAAAAAGGTTCAGTTCTCGTAGATTTTTTTTTCTTTCGTTTTAACACATTCCCTCCCATTGCAGGTCATTCAGCCTCTATACATGGTGACATAATGGTAATTTTTGGTGGCTATCAAATGGTGGACGGTGTGAATTTGAATTCAAATCAAGTTTGGTGCCTGGATTTGCATAAACAATATTGGTGGAGGCCGCGTTTAGCAGGCAACGTCACGCCGCCTCCACGTTATGGACAAATTCAATTAGTTCTAGACGACCATCACCTACTTATCGTTGGCGGTTGTGGTGGACCAAATAGCGTATTTTCGGATGCTTGGATTTTGGATATGTCCAGCGACTTATGGTTGTGGAAATCAGTGCCCGTACGCAATAAGAAATTTGCGGCTTCTCACATGTGGTGCAATCCAGCTTGCAAGATAGATTCTAAATTAGTTGTCCTTGGTCCAACGCCAAATATGCCACAAGATTTTCAACTCATGAGACAGGCTCGAATTCCTGTTGGTGGTGCGGCGGGAGCTCCAAATAATCGCAATCGACAATTGGAGAGGCAAAGATGGATTCCCGGTGAGGCTGGAAATGGGCAGGCTGCTCGGGGTTATGCATTACGTGTACCTGCTCCCAATCGTCCAATTAATTTCCAATTGGATGGTCTCAATATACCACTCGACGGTCCGGATGAACAATATTTAGCTCAGCGCAGAGCTATTCTCAACGATCATCAGCAAAATGCTAGCAACAATAACTTTGTCAACCAACATAATAACCGCAACAACAATGTGCAACCTCGTACAGGTAGTTTAAGAAATTTGCACAAGATCGCTTTACAACAAATGGAAGAGAAAAATCATAATAGACCTTCTTCATCCGGAGCCCAGCCTCGTTCTAACGGTGTAATTGCAGCTCGCACTAACAGTGAGTCCTCCTGCAATGGAGAGGAAGTAGAAAAAAAGAGAGATGATACTAAAAATTCCGATATGGAAGCAGCTAATCGTTTGCAGCGTAATTTATCTTTGCGATGTCGGGAAAATGAATCTTTCCTGCCCAAGCGATTCGATGAACTCTATGAAGATCCATTTCGCATGGCTGCCTTCAATGTGCAAAACCGTCCTCGTTCGCTGTCCAAAGATCACAACGAACGCATACGACGCATGGAAGAGAAAATGAATGCTTTGCGCAATTCACGACGCAATGCAGTTGCTGAGCAGAAACCTCTAAAAGAACCTTCACCGAAAAGAGCGAAGCGAAATGTTCTTTCATTGTTTGTCTGTGACCTCTCAAACGCGCTGTCCGAAGATCCGCACTTACAATGGGTGGAACATAAAAACTATGGAATTTTGCCAGGAGCACCAGAACGCCTAATTTTATCCACAATGGTGCCGGGAAATGGAGAACTAGTGCTTTTTGGTGGCGTACAAAAAGAAACGCTCTATGAAATGACACACCAAGTGTCAAATTCTGTCCATTTTTTGAGTGCACCAAAGGATATAGTTTAGAAAATGAATGGTTGTTATAATTTTGTTATGCGAACTATGTAGTATGAACGTAAGGCTCTGAATCTGAGATTTTTTATTTTTTGCAAATTTTGAAAAGACCGATAAATTATTGGTAAACTTTTAAGTAACAAATTATGTTCACGGAAATATAACAGTAATATGGCCGCACTATGTACTATGTAGCTAAAAATATATACAATTATCTAAGCTACCAGTTGATACTGATTATAAGCTAAAAATTTCATTATTTTTCTATTCATGATATGCAGCTTGGTTCTGAAAGAGTTTCATTGGCATTTGACCTAGCACACGCTTTCCCTTCAATTTTATTACTCAGCAATCGTTGTATCCCTGGTACAACACTGCCGTTTTATATGCCATGCTTGAAAGTTGGCAACTCTGGTAAAGAAAGTTCAAGTTATCTCCTTATGTTTTATGTGGCAACTCGATTTTTGAAGCATATACTAAACGATCGAATTCATATTAAAATTCGTTCCAAAAAAACGAACTACATCTATTTAATTTTTAAAAGGTATCGTTGAATCGTGGTTCGGAAAAACTTAAAACGTAAGGTTTTTGAAAATGAAAACTCCACCACAAAAGCGCAAACAGCAAACTGATGTACAAGCAGCTAGAGGTAGATTGAGAGGTGCTTTAAAAGACACCTTAGACACCTTACCCGCACAACAAGGTAGTAATGACGAAGCTGCTAGTAATGACGAAACGGAACGACGCCCAGTACCGCCCCAAAAACACGGTCAAAGGGGGCGACCACCTAAGTACTTGCAATCACTCCGCCACAATCCTGTGGCCAGCGTAACTCCACCATTAACACCAAGTAAGAAACGAAAGCGGGACTTATTGATAGCCAGCAGTCAAGCGGCACAAAAAATACAAGCCGAAAGTTTTGTGATGAAACTATTTGATCGCAGTTTGGATTTATCAAAATATTCCGAGCAAACGCCTTTGTATCCTATTTGCAGAGCTTGGATGGCAAATCAGCCTCGTAATCCTAGCATACGTAGTTTTCGGGAGAAACAATCACCTGCACCACCAGAGCGCAAAGATAATTGTGGCGAGATCTTATCGCAATTGAAATCTGGTGAGTTGAAGGAAGTGATTAGTATGCCGAAACCAAAGAAAGCCGACATACCTAAAATACCACCGCAAAATTTGTCCGCAAAATCGACGGAAATTGAAGAATTTGCGAAAGTGAATGATAAATTAAAAGACGCAAGTCAGGAAGAACTTTTAGTATATCATTTAAGCAATTGGAAACAAATTAAAAGAGGTTGGCAAAAGCACACACGTCATTACCAACAGAGGAACGACATGAATTTCTTGATTATCAAAGAACTCCTTAAACATTGATAGGTCAGAAGTAACTAGAAGTAAGGTATTAATAATAATAAAAAAATGCCATTGTCATTTTAGCTAGTTTGATTTCGATTTATAAAACGAACACTGAAGAGAAGTGAGTTTAAACAAAGTCGATTTAACTAACGTAGTTAAAGGCAAAAGAAAATTTATTAGTTGATCACTTCGATTTGATACATACTTTTTGAATAAATTAAAAGAAGTTAAGGATAAGTTTTGTAGATCTGCTCTCTCACATTTGCTTCCTTTTATTTCATTCTTAAAGCCAATAGCCTGTGTTGCTAGTGCTCAATGTCTTTTTTTTAGTCTAAGAATTCATTTCACTAGTCTAAAATTAAAATAATAATGATAATAATAATATTTCATTCTTAGGAATGCATACAAATCATATGACTTGCCGATTCCCACCTGTAAAAATCCCGCAAAGTCGAAATCTCATCCCGAAAATAGGAATAGGATGTGCAGATTAGATAAATAAGTTACAAATGTAAAATAAATTAGGCGTATTCCTTTTTCAGCGTTTTTGCCTTTTGTTTTATTTACGTGCATATATGCAAAACCATATGATTTACCAATTCCTTTAGTTTTCTAAAAGCCTGAAAAATTGAAACTCGGTCCCGAAAATGGGTATACCTCATTATTGTGTTAGCCCCTTCCTCGTCTTTTTCACGTTCTTAAGCATTAAATTCATTCTGCGAATTTTCACATGGAATTGGCAATGGTCACGAAGCTTAAGCGCTGTGAGTTTAATACACCTTCATGCTCGTTAATTTTCATTATATGCTTGCCGTTGAACGTAAATTATAACACCTAACTTGGTAATATTCGTTGTGCAGGCAACCCTGTTTTGGTTTTGTTTTTTTATTCAGTTTTTCGTCGGAACTATTGCATAGATATATTTTGCGGGCAAGATATTCTACTTAAAATATAAAATATTTATATAAACAAAATCCACATGTCTGAGTTCTAATTCTAATCATTTAATTTTCAACATATTGAAGTTAGTGAAAACTTTTCTAATAATACTTGGAAATATACTTGAACTGCGCTTTACGGGCTTTCATATTAGGATATTTTGTTTTGAAGGAAGAGATTTAATAATATCCAAATTTTTCCTTATCGTTTTTCAGTCGGTAAGTTTCTTCTTTTAATGTAATTTTTGATAAACAATTTACAATCTCGTAAACTGAATAGTTCAAGCGAAAGAAAACATCTTCAAATATTTGTTTGCGTCTAAAAGGAACAAGACAAAAGACATAATCAAGTTTTCATTTATATGAAGAGTGTAGTTTTACGCGTTTCGATGGGAAAAAATTCATATAAAATTAGCAGCAGTTTGATTGCCGATGTGCGCTCTCATGTTCTATCTCAAAGATTTGCTTGATAGTTTTTTCAAAGTTCGTGAAAGCATTACTGACTCCTAGGACTTACGAAATCCACATTCAATTGGCTTTCAAGTCCATTTTTGGCGTAGCGTATTCTATTTTCGTCTATTTCTAAGCTAATTACTATGATCCTTTCATATTTTACGCCATAGAACGTAATAAATTAGTTTTTTGAGAAAAATTTTTATCCGTAGTAATATCCACTCTCCAGCAATATTCAATATTGTTCTTACCAATTATTTTACTAGTCCTTAAAAGGATCGGTTGGGTACGCATTTTGTGAGCATTTTTTCAACACCCAGAACAAAGCTTCCGAGACTGCGTGAACGAGACATAGTACTGAGAAATGTCAACGTATGAATCGGTCAAACAATGTCCCTCTATCAATCCGGGAAATGTGTTGGTAATCATTTATTGGCGCCAAATTTAGTAAAAACATCATAAGTTCGTTTACACAAGAGAAATGATTGTAGTTGTATTCTTTGCTCATAAACTAAAACGGAAGCAATGAGGAAAATTCCAACTACTCCGATTTGTGTTTGTTACCATAAAAGTGGAGTGTTTGGATAATGCGGACAAAGCCCGAAATATTTTTCTTTGTTTCCTTTTTATTAAATTTAAGTGTAATGAGTGATTGTGTGCTTTTAATCTTTTCTTGTCTCCGTTCGTTTTATTACGTGTTAGAGTAAGTTTTAGTGTTATTCATTGGCTTTGTTAGCTAATTTTTGATTTATGTTCACCTTATGTAACCAAGAAGCGGTTCTTTAATATGCAATAATCCAAAAAATGAGGAGAGAGTTGAATCAATAAATTGAACCGTTGTAAGGGTCGACGATTTTCAAACTCGACATTGTTGACCACGCGCTCATACTTTCTTTCGTAATGTTAAAGCTTGAAGAATATCGAAAAATAAATAAAATTCAATTTTATTGTTCAGCGCAACAAAGCATTCATTGAAAGATTTACAATAAAATGACGTAACTTATTGTAAATAAAAAAAAAAGAAATGCTTGTAACTTGTGCTTGTGAGACTATTTCAATAAATGGAAACTCGCTTTTTGATGCACGCCAATATTTAACCCTGAAATTATAGGAGAGCCAAGATAAGAAGTTAGTTAATTTGAAAATGTCAGATCGCATTAAAAATGTTTTTGCCGATTTTTCAAACGAGAAGTCATATATAATGAATTTAAACATAAACCATTTCGCATTAATCGTGCTAGAGTGACTTGAGCTACAAAGCCTCTCAAAATGCCTATGTATGTCTTTCCTTAAATATGCTTTTGAAGTTGCAATTATTTGGAAAACTGTATCATAATTATTCAGACAAGTTATTAGTATGTATGGAAAATGATACTCCTTTTCATTTGTTTTAATTTTGTTGTTGTAATTGCCCTACACTTTTTGTTTGAAACGATCTCAACACCTAGAAGAAGGAGATTTGGTACCATGGTCCAATTTATCAATACATGTCCAATCTTTTATATGATGGTTGCAGGAATCGATGCAATGGCTTATGACAGTTCATGGCGTTAAAATAATTTAAATTTCATAAGTTTACCTTCGCAATTACTTATATCCTCATTGCTTCGGTACTTATTGTAATTAAAAGCTTTACCTTTTCCTTTCAGTGAAATACACTCCTACTGATCTTATTTTTAATACAGCATTTTAATAATACATCGCAGCTTGGGGATATTACCGACCCTTGTCCTTTTGTTTGCAATAGTCAAAATTGGGCATTAGAGACCCCATCGGATATATATATATTCTCCATTTAATTCTTTTCCTCAGAATTTAATCTCAAAATTTCCTAAATGAAATTTAGAATAAATGTCAGTTTCTCAATAGTTGTGAAGAATTTGCAATCATTCTCTGAAAAGGTTTTCAGCTTTTAGTCCAATAAATTAATGAAAAAAGATAGTTCAAAATTAAGGGCTTTATAAAGATAATAAATAAAATGAAAAGCAAGTAAGTCGTGACCGAAGCTTTTATACCCATCATCGTTGTTCTAAAAATGCCAAGAAAAATAAAAGAACTATGAAGTGGGAGCGGCTGAGTTTTTCTATTTTCAAAATAAATGTTTTCGTCGCATAGGAGTTTGTACGTTGTAGGCGTGAATTTTGAAAAAATTGACTCACTTCCAAAAGTCTTTTGCAAAATTTTTAGGCGATATCTCCACTAACGTGCTAATAGGACAATGTTTAGCACAAATACTACACAGTTGTTCAGACAGACATACCAATCAATAGACGGACATGTTTAGGTGCCTTCCGAATTTATAAAATTTGTGGAGTTTCCGAAGCTTGTTTCTGCGACTTATAAAGGTACTTGGAAAAAAAGTTAAATTTTGATACACCGTAATAATGGGTGGGTATGGACAATTTTTTCCGCTTTTTTCACATTCACACTTTTGCACATTTTGTACATTCAAAATTTTGCTCAAAAGGCTGATTTTTTATTGGCTGAAACATTTATTGCTCGGATTGCTCTTAGTTTACTTGATACGGTAGGCATGTCGTTTGACCGATTTGGCCCGTTTTCCATAACTTCCAATTTGTCTGGCACATTTCAAGTCGATAGCTTCATTGTTGCGACCAGGAGAATGTTTATAACAGACGGACGGACGGACAGACAGACAAGCTTAAACCGATCTACAATTTGATGCTCATCAAGGCTACACATACTTTATGTAGTCTCTGATGCTTGCTCCTGGACGCTGCAAACGTTTGTGAGACATTGACTACACCGCTCATCCATCCGTCTGACAGATGCATGCTTAAATTGATTTACAATTTGATTTTAGAATTGAAAATTTTGATGTTGATCAAGAACATAAGTCCGTAGTTTGCTTTCTCTTGGGCGTTGCAAACGTTACGACAAAATGAATATATCCTTCATTCTTCGGTAATGGGTATTAAAAATAAAAATGATCAACAATTTGTTCATAATAAGCACTTTCTGGGTTTAAGGAGAATACGCACAGAACGGATAAGCTTTACAAAAAGTAGCCGAAATTATAAATTCAACGTATACAGACGGACTCTAAAGCGAATATGACTAAATTTGTATTTTACATTCTAGGCATTGCAAAGAAAGGGACAAAGAGAGGAATTGGCATATAATAAATATATTTCTTATCTTGAGCGCTTTTCCTATAAACGTAAATGACCTAAATAAATCTACAAAATTTTCGCAAAATGTCTATGTATTAGGATTTTCAAAAGATTAAAATTACATTCATTCAATGATTAGAAAACTATAATAAAAACATATCCATGAACTAATACATACAACGTTCAAACACAGGTCGTAGATCTACTTCTGACTTAGTTATTGAACTCTACGAAAAGTTTATATGTGTGTGTACGTACATTTGACTACTGAGCGTATTTAATGAAATTTATTTACATTAGATGATATCATCGCGACTTTTTTGTTTTCATTGAGATATTCACATAATAATTTACACTTAAACCGCAATGTTGTAATTCATACCAATATATATATATATAATATTAATATATATATATATGTATATATATTAACAACATAAAAGGGCAGAGTAACGATAATCACTTCTCTGCTCTAATAATGAGTTTAAGGTGAGTAAAAAATTGTGTGTATAATAATAGTAAGCAAGAAATTAACCAAATTAACGACGTTCTCTATACTCGCAATCGACAATGTATATAACAATTGGTGGTGCACTATGGGTGCATTGAACATATTTGCGAAGTAAAGTCAACTTATTTTAATCATACGGCACATACGCTTCACATAGTATTGATGCCCCATTATTTTTGTCTGCCCTTGATGCTATTCGGTGGTTGCATGTATTTTAATAGTTTTTTTTTTCACTCGAAAAATTCGGTACAAAGTAAATTAATCGAAATATTTTCCATCATTTTCTACAATATTTTATCATATTTTCGGCGAAAAAACTTATAACGTTTAGGCAGCGTTTCAGTCATTGATCCATTTTCGCAATTTTTCAAATTCGCGGAGCTGCGTGCCAGCCAAATCATCCTGCATTGATCTGAACATGTACGTCATGTCTGATCAGCACACTGGGCGTGGCAGAACTTCCCATTCGTGCTGTACTAATGAATGCATCACCACTCTTGCAACAGAAGAGCAAAAAATGGTGGCATGTCACACTTTGGGATATGATGGAGCAAGATCGCCATAAGCTTCTGAATGTGTTCGATGGGCTTTGACAGCAGAATTCTTCAAATAAACAACAATCGAAACTGCAGTTTTGAGCGATTTGCGTCGGCATACGCTGAGTAATTCAATATTAAATGGAAGATTCTCAGCTTATGTAGGGAAAGGTCAAGACCATCGAATTTAATCGTTATGTACACTAGTATTATTTCCCATTTCTTGATCATTTTTATCTGCAAAAGTTGCCTATCAAAATACATGCAACCACCTAATAACAAAGGCAAACAATTAAATAAAAGAATCATTGAACTTTAAACACTGTTAGGTTGATTGAAAAGTAAAAAGTTAAAAGAGTAGAAATCTGATTGCTGTTTAAAGTCGAACATAGCTTAGCTTTGTATATAATAGTCAGATGTTAAGATGCTTAGCGGGGCTTGGTTGCGGGCAAAAGAAAAACAAACACTTTCATTCAGCTTAAACAGAATTCTCCTTTCATTCGATGTTTTTTCTTTTTTTTTTAAATAGATTATGTAATAAACACTGTAAATGTAACGTGCTATGTAAGCGAAATAATTTTAGAACATGTGTTCATATTCTTACTTCAATTGCACTACATTACCTTTCGAATGATCCAAGAATTTTTCCATTCCCCAATAGTTTATATATATATATATGTATATATATACACTCTTACTCAGGTCTTTTCTTTTTGAGTTCTTTCTGATGACCATAAACGTCTTGCTTTGCTTTCATTTTTCCTTCTACAAATTAAATATATTTTTCCTTCAAATAAAAATCAAATAGGAAAAGCGAGAAAAAATAAGTAAAAGTAAAGATTATATAAAAAAAAGAAAAAATTGCCTTAAAATAGTGTTTATAAAGGCAAAAAAATTCTGCTTTCGTTTTCAGCATTTCGAAGTCATTTGAAAGGGTACCGTTACAAAGGCAAACGACAAACATCATGGGTCAATTCATAGTTAAGTTGAAGCAGCCTTTGCAATTGTATAGCGATAGTGTGGCCAATATGCTCACCAATCGTCGTAAACGTAAAGCGAATGCCGACTCAACTAATTCAGACGACGAGCAAAATTTACGCGATTCGCAACCGCCAAAAAAGTAAGTACACAAGAAATAATAATAATCCTGGCAATATTCAATGAAAATATACTTTTTCTTCTGATGTATAGGAAAAAGCTGCTAAGCACCACTCAATACATATATCAGGCACTCTTTAAGGAGCAGAAAAATTCCGACATAGCAATAATGGCGCTAAGCAAAGTATGGAATTTGCATAAGGTCTACTTATCGCAAAGCCCGTATTTCTATAGTATGTTTAATGGCTCTTGGCGGGAATCTTGCCAAGATTTTGTTCACGTGAAAATCTTAGACGATAATATTACTTTAGAAGGTACTGAACGTTCATTTGTAATTCTTAGGAAATTGTTCTATCATCATTATCATTCATCATCATCATCATCATCTTTTCATATTTTTAGCCTTGGATGCCGTTTTCGGTTCTATGTATTCAGACGAAATTGAAATCGATGGTAAAAGTGTTATATCGATTTTAGCTACAGCGACTTTATTTCATTTAGATGGTGTGATTGACAAATGTTCCGAAGTAATGACCGAGACAATTAATGCTGACACTGTTATTACTTATTATGATGCTGCCTGTCAGTATGGGTGCCGTAGTGTTAAAAAGTCGACTTTTAATTGGTTGGAGATAAATTTGCTAAGCATTTATGCAAAATATTCGAATATTTTGAAACGTATTAGTATAGATTTAATGACTGCCCTAATATCTAGTCCAGATTTGTATGTAATGCAAACTGAATTCTCACTCTATACTATGCTGCGCACCTGGATTTACTTACGCTTACACCCGAATTACGATCCGGGAAATCCTCAAACGCAAGAGAGAGACCAGCAGCAACAACAGCAACAACAGCAACAACAGCAACAGCAACCACAACAACCAGCATTGGAAATAGTCGCTACCCTTACAGAAAATGGCAATAGTTCAGATGTTATACAATCATTCTTTTTGGATCGAAAAGAAACATCTTCATTTTTGGCTACGCCAGAGGGTCAACAGTATTTGATACCTTTTCAGGCTTTACGAACACAATATTTAATTAATCATCATTTAGATTTAAAAATTGTGTTAAATGATAATATAATTCCAAAAGATTGGGTACACAATCACGTGCTAACGCATTGGAATTCAATATTAAAAGTGGATCATTTACCAGAAGAAGGGTAAGTTCTAGTATTCTATATTTAGTGTAATCAATTTTCAAACGAACAGTGATTATTTATTTTACAATAGAGAAAATTATAAAAAATTTTTCAAAGTAATTTTATAAACTTTTCATAGCCTACACCAGTTGTTTGCTACACTATAACTATATTAAGTTTGTTGTGCAGTGCATGCGACATGCAGGACAAGGACACTTGACCCATCGTTTATTTTACCCATAGATTCAGAATCACTTTTTGCATCGATCTAAGCTTTCCTGTCCTGTTCTTTTTTGTGTTGTGTGCAATTTTTAAAATATTTTCATGAAATTCAGTACACCGACGTGTTTTGGGCTAAGGTCGAACGCTACTCAAAAGTGTTCAGATCGAATCATTTTTTCGACCACTCTCGATATAAAATCTTAAAAAGGTTTAAGATCTGTAGCCTGGCGCTGCAGTAAAAGTTGGATAGTGTAGATTCTGAAGGTGTTGTTCAAAATCGAAATTTTGGGTATCCAGCTTGGAGTACTTCATGTCTACGTGCAGTAACGTCGGGGTATCATTTTAACATTGTTATCGGATGATTTAACCACGATAGTTAAATTATTGTTCGCCCCTGCAAAATGTGTTAAGTAGAATAGATATTAAAATCGAAATATAAATGCGTAGTGAACTAGAAAACAAGGGACAGGGGAAAAAAAAGTTCTATTGTAGTAGTTATGGTAAGAGAGATTTTCTTCGAACCATACTCTGTCTTCATGGGCAGTTATATGTGTTGATAAGGATGCTCTCCGTAAGGTGGTTCCACATGATCTACATGTACTTCCTGCATTATCGCATTCGGTTATGAACAGCATTCGATTAGGCATCTGAGTGCATGTATTGGGTGAATATCCAATTGGTGTCTGGATTTTTGTATTTTTCAATTCTTCCTGTTGCAGGATGGGTGTACTAAAACTGTTATAGAGTAAACCGAACGCAACTTTCGCATAATGTAGTTATTTCGGGAAAATAAGTGCAGAAAGTATCTGTAAATTTTTCAGTTTTTTATCGTAATTTTTGAGACTAACAATCCAAACAGCAAATAAAAAAAAATATACATATATATATATATATATATATGTATATTTATATATATGTATATTTATATGTAGTTCACTTGTACTTTTCCATTAGGGCCAAGCACGGCATTCAGCCAATTTATCTTCGTTAGTAACCACTAATAACATTTTCTTTTTTTTTTTCTCTTCTTTTCTTAGTCCGCAGAATCTTAGCGCCGAGAAATTTAATGAAAATTGTATGAGATGCGGCCGTATACTCTTGGATCCCGGATATCAGAAATGGCGTTGGACTGGCTTTCAATTCGGTTTAGATTTAATAATTGTGTGCAATTCACGCGTACTAAGCATACGTCGACATCATCGTAATGAACATGAACGTTTGCTGAGCTTACAAGTTAAACGTCAATTTATGATACGGTCAGGAAAAAAATTTCTAATATACTTGCAAGCGAATTTAATTAATCTATTTTTCTATAACAGAGCTTCAATTACTTCGATAAATTCGCAGCGTCAGCCCATATTTACGCAAAGGTCTGAGATAACATCTTTGTGTTTGGAAAAAAATGAAGAGGTTGTTTTGATGACAATGGATGCTAAACTTGTGCACCCGTTGCTGATAGCAGTAAATTTACTGGTGGTTCCGCCAACACCGCAAACCTTTAAAGAGAACATTTTACTGAACGAAGAACTGGTAAACTCTTCGCCCATTTCTGAGATAGGAGCAAATTGTGAACGACCTTTAACACCACCAAACAGCCCGCATTGTGAATCTGCTATCTGCATTGTACCTGCAACGCCGCCCACTGCTTTCGCACCACAAAACACAAGACGATCTGTCTCGGCCGCATCATCCGCTTCAACCGTTTCGATTGGCTCGGCTTCTTCATTTTCTTCTAACGATTATATGTAAAACGGTAAATGAAAACGCTACTACCATATATGTGTTTCAATTTTGTTTGTTTTCCATTCGATCTGGGTGATAGGAAGACAAACACAAGTCTATTACATATAATATAATAATGAGTTTGATTCCAAGATGATGTTAAATATATAAAATATTTTTACATATATATATATATATATATATATATATATATACATATATATTTTCGTACGGACGGCTTTCTGCTTGTTTTAATAAGAAAAAACTCTGCTTAGTTGTTTACCTACCTTAACAATTAATTTTTTCATATTTTTTTTAAATTTAGAAAATTTTTGTAATTTCTGAAATTAAGTTTAAAATGCCCACACCTTTTTTTTACACTTTTTGTACACTAACGCCCAATTGATTGGTCATCGAATCTTTATTTAAAAATTCGTTATTAGATTTTTAAGCTATTTCTTCTTGCGTTTTACAGGCAAAAAAAAAAAAATAAATAAAAATAAAAAAAATTAGTAAAGGAAATTAACTTCTTTTATAATATTATGACTCGTCTGAAATTAATTGAATGTGCATTTTCCGATGTATTTCTTCTTATGGAATAAAATATGAAGTCTCTTTAAAAGTAAAAGAATTTAAAATGAAAGCACAAACCTATTATTTTATAGTGAAAGAAAAAAAAAATAAACTTGAAAAAATCTTTCCGATTTGTTTTTATAAAACATATTTTTGACCTCTAATGTTTATAGCTTTACATGTTGGGAGATATAACAATTTTTTTTTTTTTTAATTTTTGATTAATTAGCACAGATTGCAGAAAACACGTTTATAAAAAAAGAACATTTTGCTTTATAAAATTATTAATTAAATTATTTACCATCGTAGACAACAATGTAGATTTGTAGGCCAAGAGAGAGAAAGAGAGAGAGAGAGAGAGAACATTAAAATCCAAAAAAAATATATCTATATATGTATACTTACTCTCAGGCATATTTCTGATATCGGATACGTTGGAAAAGTATTGTGTAAGATATGCGCGGACACGAAAAGAAGAACAATATGTTTTAATTACATACATACTACATACTTATAAAGATGATTGGTTATAGGATAGGGAAGTGGTTGCGGAAGAAGATCAACTTGTGCAACGGAAATCCTTTTACATACCTTTTACACCCATTAGATGGAACTTTCCAAGTGTATCATTGCATTTTATCCGCCTGAGTGGCCGAAGACGAGGAATCTCGACTAGCAACTCATTGGTGGTGGGTTCGAGTCTCAAGTGCAGTAGAGTTTTTAATAAAAGCCGATAGCCTTAGATGCTAGTGCGTCAAGAGTTTAGTCTTAGAATTTATTTATCTAGCGAAATTAATAATAATAATAATATTGCATTTACACCAATAAAGCGATCGGCTTCCCGTTTCAAACATAGACAAGAAAAACCTTCTTAGCAATGTTTCTGCGGACCATAATCGGTAAATTCTTTTTCTTAACATGTAGAGGATACATTTTGCATATTTCCCTTAAGTTTTTGTATTTTCACAGTATAAATTTGTACACAGTGGAAATAACACCGGAATGCATTAGTTGTGCCGTGTAGGACCTCGGTGCAGTATAGTGGCTTTTTGCCTTATCAGTCTCATCCACAACTACTAATTTGACATCCTTAAAATGGGAAATTACTCTCCTGTCCTAAGCTCTAAGGACAGCTAAATTATCTCTATGCATTAAATAAATATGATCGGGTAAAAGTACAAGTGCGAGGACAAGTACCCGTGGCCACAAACCTTATTTTACTGACATCAAAATTTGCAGATGCGGATTCATTGATCTTATCTCTAGTGCCGCATATTATTTATTTTTCAAAGAAAAGCAACAAAGATAATTTATTTTGCAAACATTAAACACGAATTTAATAGAAAACTACAAATAATTATTCAGAAATTTATTAAATATTTAAATGTTAAGTTTTTTTATATTGACGGCTTAAAACCGTTGCAATAGTCAAATTATTTTTTTTTTTTTTTTTTTTTTAACAAATGTTCTAACAATACATTACTTAAGGTGGTCATAATAATACTTTATTGTTATTATACCCACTACTATTGAAAAGGAAACGATGGCTTTTGACTTTTGAAATCTACAAATATGTTATTAGAAAGGTGTTAAAGGTAGATAGAGAGGGCATTTTAGGGAAAGGGACGTTACCACAGTGTGTGTGTGATTGTGGCGATTTTTATATTGCTATCTGTCTGTCGGAGATTCTATTGCTACTAGTTGAAAGATGTCGGTTCACAGGGATAATTGAATTAAATTATACACATACACACACATACAACTCGGTCATGTTGTGCCGTTTCGAGTAGGTACAGAAATCGATTAAACTGCATTATATCAACATCATAACCAAAGGCTTGTGCGAAATTTCCGGATGATCGCATACACAGACGTGGAACTTCCCTCACAAAGCACGAAATTAAAGTTTCATCCATTTTAGTTTACTCGAAGAAGGAAAATCGCCATAAACTGATTTCAGCTATCAATTTTCTTTTATGAGATAAGTAGTGGGCAATAACAGGCATCCTTAGAGGATTAAAAGTTTCTTACTATTATATTTATTTTTTTGTTTCATTTTAATAATAAAATAATTCCGGAAAGTAGGTTTCATATATGGGTTTGTCCTGATTGTTATTATTATTGACATTTTGCGTAGCTTTATTATCAAGAGCCAATGAACTGAATAGATCGTTTAAACGATTTTGTAGGACATCGTGCTGTGGAATAAACAAAAAAAAAAAAAAAAAAAAAAAGAAAAAACTTCTTTAATACATATGGATAGAATTAATGCGCTAAGGTGATGAATAAAGACTTGTGTGATAATGCTATGCGAAAATTGGCATTTCCAACTGGAAGGAGTAAAAAAGAAAAAACAAAAAAGAACAAAGTTTCCTTCTATACAGCATTGGATGGGTGTGGCAGTTCTCTTATTTTTGCCAAGTACTATAGAATCATCGCTAGAATACATCTGGATGCATTTATCTGTCGTAGTTAATGAGTAATGAATAAAAATCCCAAACCATTGTTTTGGAAGAGGGAACAGCCTTCAGTTTTTGTTACATTGCGGGCGTATTTCTTAACTGATTTTGCCAATTTTCAATAGCAATTTGCTTACGGAAGTCTACCTGCACACATCCGCATAGACGGACTAGCAGACATATTAGCTCCTAAGCGCTGTTCAATGCACCCCCCCCATTACACTCCCAAATCTTGGCGGTGGATTTTAAAATATTTGAAATTCGAATTTTCGATAGGGCCATCATTGAGCAAACAATCTCACTTGATGATAATTTTTCTTTCTAAAAGAAGTAAGTTCTTTAAATATCTTCTCAAAAAGAACGTAGCCTTGGCGAGAGAAGACGCCCTTAGCAACTAATTAGAAAGAATAGGTTTTCATTAAATTCTGTTGAATTGCTGTAATTGCGTATGGGGAAGAAATTCTGCAACGTTGCTCTGCGAAGGAATTCTATTGCTTACCTTTGGTTCGGTTCGCTTCATCAGCTCTTCAAAATTGCTTTCGCGGAAAGCGCGTACAATTTGTTTTTGTTTTTCTTGCATTTCCTTTTTCATCGCCTCGGACGGTTCGGCCAAATAACGTTTCATAGCGTCAACTGTATATTCAGGTGCTAATGCCTTCTGTGGAAAATATTTTTGTGAAAAACTTCAAGAAGAACGCAATTCGAAATACTTGCCTTGGCTACACCTGGCGAACTGCTAATGCTATCGTTATCTCCATTATATGTTGTTAAATCGGTTGAACTGTTGCGTTGGGTCATTTGATTGCTAACTGATTCGACCCAAGAATGACGATGACTGGGATTGTCTTTTTGATTTAGAGTATATGGCACGCCCGATTGCAAGCGATTAAAGTCCATGCCAGCATTTTGCAAGCATTCGGCTAAAGCTATTTTATCTATAGACAAATGGGGCAAATTGAGATTGAATTTGGTAGTGCTTGGCTTGTTATTCGGTTCCATTATTGAAGGAAGAAAATGTCCAGCATCTTCTTTTCGTGCTTCGATTATTTTTTGCGCATATTCCAGCAAATTTGTGATGCCAGTAACACGAGCCGCCAGGGTCAACAAGGCTATAGCTATAGCGTGCAAACAACATTTATGCAAATCGCTAAGATCTTCAGCGATAACGGCCACTTGTTGTATGCTGAAATCAAATCATTTCACACAATATTGTTTTAATGATTCTTAAATTCCGAACTCACACTTACCCCAAAATAAATAGAAGAAACTCTTGAACTGTTTCGCCACAAGCCATTTCTACTAGCAACAAAGCTGCAGTATTATAGCTTGAGGTTAACGAGTCCACTTTGTCCGACAAAGCCAAACTATCAATTAAAGCCTGCATGATATTCGCTCCATATTTGTGTGTGAAAATTATATCCGAACGTGATGGTGGCTCCTGTGATAAGGCCGCGTATGGTTTAACGCTGACCATGCTTAGAACCTTTTCGTTTTGATGACGATCGAGCAAAGCTTGAAAGATTTTCATAACGATTATACGAGTTGGATCATGAGGAGCTCGGGCCATTTTCAGTAGAGGTTGCAAAAAACTTGCAGGGAATGCTTTTTCAAACGAAACTGTATTATACTGAGTTCCGACCTTCAGTAGAGATTTCAACAAGATATTCTGTAGCATTTGGTCACCTTTACTTTTCTTGGTCAAATCTGGTACGGTATTCATTATGAATAACATTATCTCAATTTTTTGATAATCCGGATGATGATTGGCAAATTCACCCAAAGCATTAATCAAAGCCTCTTGATATTGCGATTCTTCGGGTGTTATTTCTGTGGTAGTGCCAACACTAGTCTTTAAATGTGTTAGCAAGTTATTTATAATATCCAAGGCTGAAGGGCCGACACTTTCACCGGCCGCTATGGCTATAATTTTCGATAGAACAACTGCTAGAGAAGTGCGCGTCTTCGGCGAAGATTTGAAATTGTTATCTAAATGTTGCATGAGAGTTTCGACCACTGTATAAGAATACTGCGGCTGTATTGATATCATAACAATACGAAATGTATGAATGGCAAAAGTATTAGGAACCCATAATTCATGTCGGTCCAAGTGACTGTGGGAGATACATTTTCAATTAAGTTTTCAAATAAGTGGAAAGACGACAACTTACGTTAACAAAGGTTTTAAAACACTTCTTATATGGCCGAAAGAAGCGCGACCGACCAATTCACGTAGAACTTCCTCGGCCAAAGCAGGTGGTGTAACTTGGGTGGCATCTTCTACTGGAGTCAAGTCGCCAGACTAAAAAGAAGAATAATTAATACATTTAGTTTTTTCTTTCTTAGAATCATTTTTCGGTAAAGATCGGAGTTGGATTCCTCTATTCTATATCTCACGCACTGTCACTCACATATAGAAACAATGATGATTACTATCGTCACGTTTGATGTTTGCATTTGATTTGATTGGCTTCGAATCGTAGTTATTTTGATACCCAGCACTGTTTTTTTCCAAAATATATGTAACACCCAAAAGAAAGCTTCAGGGACCCTATAAAGTATATATAGTATATATTCTTAAGCAGCGTGAATTTCTGAATTGATTTAATCATGTCCGATTGTCTGTGTGGTGTGTGTTGTTGGCAATCTACTGGTCCGCAAAATAAAGATATTGACTTCAACTTTGGCAGAAACATTGGAAGTTTCTTTACGCAGGTTGGTATTGAAAATGGGCTAAATTCGTCGAAGCAGAAGCGCGCAGTGAAGTGTAAAGTGAACATAACTCCGTTTTTCTTAACAAAAATTTGTGATTTTTTGCTCTCTTGTTACTTGGAAATTTTCTACAATTACTTTACGAAACTGTCCACTGTCTACTCTTTACGTGCAAAAATGGAAAAGATTGGCCATGCCCACACAAAGTTACAAGCGATTAAATTTTGTTTTTTTCATTTTCTTGAGTTTTTATACCTATTTATCATAAGGCAAACGGGAGAGAGAGAATGTTTAAAACTATTTTATACACTCCTGAAATGAAGATATATTATCTGCCTAAAGATGGGGTTCACTTTAAAATAAATACGATAGACGCCGCGATTACTTATGAGGTCTTAATAATATGAGCGATGTGGGTGTCAAATAAAAGATCTTGGAGAGTAGAATGCGAAAAGCATAGTGGTGAGTATGCGTGATTCGGCTCCAGCCAAATATAAATTTTTGACTTGTTTATTTATTGCATTTTCAGACAAGACACCGGCATAGGCATCGATATTTGAATCGCAAAATAGATGCAAAGCATAGGAAACAAAGTAAATAATCAAACAAGTGATATATAAAACGAGATAAATATTTTTAGTTTGAGAAAATGTCAAGAGAGAGATATAGATTAGAAATGTTTTTGTTGCTTTACACAGCATTACAAAATAATTCAAAGAAATTTAGGTTAACCTTAATGGAAGCGAAAGAAACGAAAGATATTAGAAACAGAGTTAAACAATGTTTAATAAATCTAATGTTCCTACTTGCTAACTCGATATTTTTCTTTTCATATGAATTATGGATTTTTCTTTTATTTGTGCCGACTCATTTTTTTAGGATTTCCATTACAGACTTTTGATAATCTTTTCACGCGATAGCGTTAGTATTTTTTCCGATATCTTCCGTCGGACTTTTCAAAGAGATACCTCAACAGCCTTAAGATTAAATCTTATATTGGAGGCTGATCGATATCGAATAGGAGAATCCGATCTCAGAAAAAAAAAATAAATTTAGATATTACAAAAGTTTATATAAATAAAAATTAATTTAAAAGTGTATTGTAGGAAAATGTAAGATACTTTGGATGCCCATCACCAAAAGCATTATTTAAACATTTTTGATTGTAGAAGGAAAGAAACAATTTTGATATACTGGCAAACATCTTAGGGAATAAAATGAAATGATTAATAGTGCAAATCTTTTTCATCTGGCCACACGTGCAACGTATATCAACATTGTTTTGAATATTGCGGAAGGAAAATTCTGCGTCATCAACAAAAGTTAGGTAAAAGGGGAGATGAGGAACGTAGAGACTTCGCAACCGAATTGTCTAAGGGCATTGTTAAAGCACATGGAATTCCAAGGTGATGGACATTGTAAGTATGTAAAATGTAGCAAATTAAAGAAAAAAATTAAGTGCTTAACAAAATCATTTCAATTTTAAATATAAAAATATTTTTATTACCACCGACATATTTTTCTTCACAAACATAACGTTAACATCAAACTTTTTTTATGTGTTCGTGTGTTCATGTTCGCATATTATTTAAAATAAAGGTAAACAATTTGGTTCATTATTGTGGCTCATTTGTTAGTGTGTGCGCAGTGATAAAGAAAAACAAAAAAAAAAAAAAAAAATATATATATATATATATATAAATACATATTGGTGTATATCAAAATATATTAAAAATTTATGAAAACTAAAAAAAAATCTTGACAAACGGAACAAAAATCTTTAGTGAAATGTAACTCAACTCACCTGCATATTGAATAACAGGGAAGGTACAATCTTTTCCATGTGCTGTTTCTCCCAAATATTCTCCACCAAATCATCGGATACCGTTTTACGTATAACACCTTGCAATCCTTTAATGCCAGCTAATCGGATATTGTCACGGAGCTCAGTGTTGTCATTGTTACCATGGCACATAGAAGAGAATTTCGATATGAAGAAATCATAGCGACGATGATAGGAGGGTGTGTCTTCGTTAATGTTGGCAAATTTGACAAACTGCAAAAGTGAGGGGATAATATAAAGTGTGAAGGTTAAGGTTAAAGTCGTAAAGACAAAACTAATTAAAAAAGGCCTGAAATGTATTTTCGCCTTGGGACGAATCTTTGCTCAAGCAAATACCTAACAACTTCCACTTTCTTTTTTTATTATTAATTACTTAATTGCAATTTAGTAATTAGTTAGTGCAAGTTCTGTTACCTGAATTTCTAGTTTCCGCTAATAGGTAATTTTGTGGAAATATTTATAGACGAGTCGCAGACTCGTCTACCGTCAATCATGGAGTTTCTAATATTGATTTAACTTTCCGGTATTACAAAACGACCGAAAGTCAGCATATTCCCATTCTTATGTTTGATAAGATTTTTTCGATATTGATAACATCAATACGAAAATGTTAAGGAAATCATTTGAAGGCTATTTATAAAAAGCTTTGCTTTTATACACACATGGGGTTTCTTTTATCACGTTTTTAATCCTATTAAGAAAAGTTTTTTTGGAAATAAACTTAATTGTCTAACAAAGTGTTCAAAAGTCTTGTAAATTATAAACATTTTCATAAATGAAAATTAATTGATTATATTCCGGAAACGATTCTATGAACGCTTCACATGATACCTACATAGAGAGCGTACAAAGCGAAGCTAATTATGCTGCTGATCTTGTCTATCTATTGAACTTAATTGGCAGACATGTATGACGTCTGGAATATTTAGGTGCGTTCTATTTTGAAGTTTAAAAGGGTCTCCCTACTTAGCAGTTTTGGTGAGGTGAACAAGCGGTTAGGAGATCTGACTTGATTACATTGTTTATATTGTCTATTTCTCGATCTTTGAAATTTTTTCGCAAACCTCTTAAATCTATGCTTTGATGCGGAAAAAGAAATTTCGACGGTGATTTAAAGCAACTTGCGTAAGGGTGGGTAGGTAATTTAATACTCACTGAATTGGTAGCCAATATTTGCAATGTGGGATTTGAATCTTCTAGCAATTTTTGTACCATCCTTAAAAATGATTCCACGAATAGATTTAAAGTTGTCTGGGCATGACAAGCTTGCAGCAAGATATCCATGGCTTCCATGGCAATTTCCACAAATCTAAAATTTTATGGTGTTTTAAGAATTTCTCTAAAACATTTCAAATTAAACTTTTTATGCGTCTCACCTGTAACGTTTACGATTTATATCTTTTGAGGCCTTTTGATATAAATACTCGCCAATACGGTCCAATTTATCGGGGGAACTTAACGAATAGAATGTTAGTTTTTCCATATTCGATTTTACAAGACCATCTTCTGGATTAACCGGAAAAATATTATCGACCAGCCGTTTGTAACGGGGACGTAGCGCCGAACAGCACCCGCAACAACCTGTAGGTAGAAAATATGGTTGAGAATACCAACAACAACAGTAACACGGTGTCTGAGATATTGTCGACGGTCGAGGTACGACAGTACGCATGCATGCATAGCTGCATAGAATATATGACCACGATAAATTCGCGCAATTCATCATAAGGGTGGTGATAGCGTTTATTACTGATGTTAACGTTTTACTTGTTTGATAGCCGTATCGTTACTAAAAATTGTTAAAATAAAGTGCAGCTTGTTTACCTATTCTTGTCTGCGGTTCATTCATATATACACACGCGTATATAGTTTCATAGTTATAAAATAAAAGGTAATGATTCTGCTATCTAACGACCTTTTGCGAATATTTATATCAACGTACTTTGAAGTCAGACAACGACGATTAAGTTAGTCAATCATTCATAACAAGTAATAAATACAACAAAGCCAATTTTAAGCTTGAAAAAATTTATAAGAAAGTATGTGTAAATCCCTTAAGGAATTTTGTGTTGTTATTCTTTAGAAAAAAGTGTCATAATTTGCCGCATTATCATCAACAAGCAGCCATTGCCTTTTTACTTTCTTTTTGATTAGTAAGTCCTTTTTTCTGTGATGCTTCTAAGCTAATCTTATCAAAAATTCAGAACTATTTGTGTTATTATAAGGAGTGTTCATAAATTTTATTTATTATTTTTCTTAAACGTATGCACTTGTTATATTTATGACACGTATTGATTACGTTTTAATAATCACCTACCCCACATGATTGAAACTTAATTATTTTAATTGATTTTTAAAAGCAATTTAATACGATTTTTAACATATATAGCGTTAATTCTAACTATTATTAAGTCACGATAAATTGTGCTGGTAAGCAAAACAGCAGCTAAATCTAAATAAAAAAAAAAGAGAGTAATTTTCAGTGCTGTCAAGTTCTTGTACAAATAGAGTTGCTGCAGTGTTTCAAAAACTAACTGCATTTGATAAATACTTTTGTTGTTTAACTTCTTTTTTTTATTAATATTATTTATACATTTCTTATTATTTATTATGAATGAAAAACCAATGCATTTGTTTCTAAAGTACCGAATATAACTTGAAATTGCTCTAAGCAACTTGTAATAACCGCTTCTATTTTTTATGACATCTCTGTTTTTGGAAGTCAAAGTTATTACCGATTGATTGTTTTTAAATTGATTAAATTAATTACTTGCATTTCGGTTGAAAACAAACGGAAAAACTAAATTTGAAATGATGAAGTCAGTTTTTATGCTGTCTTTGACATGTTTAGCGTATTAATTAAATAGAAAAAAAGATAAAACTAATTTCGTCACAAATAAATATTAAATTAAGCGAAAAGGCAAAAATTGAAGGAAAAATTCACCAAATAATTTAAAGTGAGACTGAGCAATTATTGCAAAAGAATTTATAACAGGTTATTGGAGATGTAGGTCCTTACGTGAAAATCCTCCCTCCAAATGAAAAAAGAGCTGATGAAGGCAAATGGATTTGTTAGGCGAATAGTAATAATTACGAATATAATATGTAAAGACATTAAAATGAATCGCATTCTAAGATTACACTTGGAATCGATGAGATAAATAAGATAAATATAAATGAAGCAAAATGACTTAGTGTTTGTGAGGTACATAGGAAACCTCAACTATACATAAGCGAAGATCTATTGTTTTAGATGCTTGTTGCTCTGCCTTTATTTCTTAATCTAATTTCTTAATAGCCTTTGATGAACCTTTTTGGAGAAACATTAGGCGTGAAATCCTCCGATAATTTTCCTATTTTCATAATATTTTTACTTGTTTGGAAGGCAGCTCCTGGATTGATTCTAATTTGCCGCTCCTTCCTATTGCCATTTTTCCACTACGACTTGTTTGAACCGTTTCAGCGTTCGTTTTGAAAACTGGTCTGAGACTATTTTTTTCTGATCATGAGCATTCGAAGAAAACACGACAAATGATACTCCCGCCCTTCGATGGAATATATAATAGTTGCAATAGCTTCACTTTAAAACTTTATTCATTAAATCCATACTCTTTGCTTACGTCCATAGGTAAAATTAAAATTATCCTTCGAAATCGGAAAAACACTTTCTTCTCCTAAGCATCGTTTCCTGGAAATGTTAGCTGGAAGTTAATAATCACAAAATAAGTTAAGCTATTGATACGATGATGAGCCAACTGAGGAGATACAAATGCAGATGATGACAAACTTTTAGATAAACATTGTTTGGATTATATTTTTCATTTACACTTCCCTTTGAAGGCATACTTACATCCGGGATCTGTGCATTTTTGTACAAAAGTATCAAAGAGTTCGGGCAATTCAAATCCCGAATCGAAACAGCAACTTATTAAAGCCATTTTACATTCTTTTAAAACAATTTTAACAGCAAACAAGAAAAAAAATTTATTTTAAATTATAACGTGAAAGCATTTACATTACTCGGCAGTTTTTTCTTTTTTAATTTTCTTTTAAGTTTGTTAAGTAATTTGTATGAAAACAAACATAAGCGACCTTGAACTTATCATTAAAATGTAAATGATGTATGAAAATCTGCCCGCACGGATAAATTTACAAATAGTTTTGTTTTTCGTGTTGGAACAATTGTTGATTTGAAAGCTTTATTACGAAAATAAATGTGTAATAAATATATAAAAAGTTCTTTCTGCCCTTTTCTTGTACTTGTGCGTGTAACATTTTTGTTTTTGGGTATGGAGTTAGCTTCACGAGCACATAACAAGCTTTTTAAGTATTCGGTGTTTATTTTCACTTTGGCTGTGTCCAATTTATGTTTTATTTTTTTTTCTTTTCTTTTGCTTGCTTTTTTATGTATTGACCTGGGTTCACTTCATTCATTCATTCATTCATATATTCAATCACTCACGTGTATCGAAACATAATTCACTTTTGTTGTGAACTTATATTTTCATATATATATATATATACATATGTATGTATGTAAAATTCGAAGAACAGTATACATACATAGGCGCTTTATAAGAAAAATGTACGCAATAATTTTACTAATTTTCAAATTTTTTTTATATTAAATTTTTATTTGTAAACATTTTTTTTTTATGTTTTATTAAACCTTAACATTATGAAATATTTATAAAAAAAAAAAGTTTTTTTAAACACACTTTGTTACTGCTGTTTTATATAACACACACTTTTCTCGCTAATCATTTTCACGATGCTTTACTTATCTTATTTCAAATTTTTATTATTGACCTCAATCGCATTCTTTTTGAGTTTTATAATTTGTATAAAGTTTTTTTCTTTCTATTAATTTTATTGAAAATATTTTCGGTTTTGTGTTGGCAAAGCAAAGAATTGTTACTAAAGTATCTACCTTTCATTACCTTTACTTTTGCGTTGTTATACATAAAACATTTGTAAGGCTTCAAGTCAGTTCTTTGGAGCTTTCGCGGAGCTTTTCATTTTAAGGGCTATACAGAAATCTTAATACCTTTTTGCAAAGCAGAGAATAAAGTCTAATAGCGAAAAACACGGAGAGTAGCAAAGAACAAACCAAATTGCGAAATTATTCGAGAAGCGGTAAGAATGTAAGTGAACCTTTACAACAACATATTCGTTGCATTACTGTGATCGAAAACGAAATGAAAGATGGCTTGAGGTTCAGGAATCATCCTAACATGCTCTGCCAACACAAGTTTCAAAATGCTGAGTTCCAAAGTTTAATCAACGAAGGATAGAGAGCACTGTTCTAGATTTTTTTTGGCAAAGAAAACACAAAAAAAGAGGAATAAAAAAAAAAAAGTTTTTTTATTTAACCATGAAACTCAGCAAAAATAAGTTAACACACGCATTCAGTTGACTCTTGGAAGTAAATCTCATGCTAATTATTACTAAGGAAGAAGAAAAACAAGTGATGACAAAAAAGAGGGAGGAATAAATTTCATGTACATAAGAGAGCCAAAAAAGAAAAAAAAAAAAAGAAGAAAGAAGAAAAGCATATACACTCATGGCCGGTAAAGACCCAGATTACGAGTGAACCCCTAAGTTATTGCGAAACATGCAGAAGCTTGACAACCAATAACCGCAAACAACATCAGTTGATTTTCACATCAGCGTTAGATGCTAAGATTGCAAGTTAGCTTATGGCATAGGCAAATCGGGCGTATTAAGAAAGATAGAATTTGATAGACTTTAAAGAGTCCGATATTGAGATGTCAGTGATGGTCAGACTAACAGAAGCAATGTAGACAGAGAAAGAAGCGGGTCCTAACCCAAAATCTCAAGGACAAATAGGGAAAACTGCTTTTGAATGGATTCTATTGAAGGTGCATAACAACTGTAGGCAGGAGACTACACACCCGCCGAGGCATACTCAAGTGTTGTCATGTATAGCCTTTTTCTAGTGTAAGGATCTTTAAGCTCTTTGGATTACCTCTTAATGAAACCTGCCGCTGACCTAGCTTTATTTAAAGAAAGCTCAATGTGCAAATTAAAAAGAAATTTTTGGTCGAATAGAACCGACAGATCAATGAACGAATCTACATTTTCCATCTTTGGTGAATCGATGAAACACTCAGTATTGAATGAATTCTTCCTTGAGAAGAAAAGCTTTTTGCATTTTAATTTCATAAAATTTAATGAATTTAGGCCAATTTGAAGCTGATACGGATGCGATTCCAAAGAGAAAGAAGAAAACAATTCAACATCATCAACGTGCATTAGGATGTGGGTTGATTTAATCACCGTCAGACATCATAGGAAATTCTTCCGAAGTGATGGAGTTAAACAGAATCCTGAATGATCTGTCATGAACAAGGCTAAGTATTAAAGAACGCGCCAAAGCTTTGGCGTCTGAAGATCAATAAGTTATGGTTAACGAAGTCATCCAGCCAGTATATATGACATGTGTTCGAGAGCCATCAGAAAAAGCCTTGAAAACATGCCAAGTAAACTCGAAGAGACTCGTAACAGTTGACCTTCCGCCGAGTAACAGTCCGTGGATAAATAAAAAAAAGCATAGTTTAAGCATCGGATAGTGATAATAAGTAGTGCTATGCACTAAAAGGATCCACTCTTCTAGCATCGAGCAGTTTGTCTCAAGAAAATACGACTGTACGTTGCATGATCGCTATTTTGATTATAAGGTCATCTCAGTAATATATATATAGATTAGTTATTGTGGAGTCTCCTAGCTCAATTACTCTTACCCGGGCAATTATATACCGTTACGTTTTTCGTGTTACCAGCCAAACATTCAGCCAACTTTTAAATGCATATGATTATTGGTAGGGAAAAAGGGAAACGATACTATTTTTGCTCTTAGTAATAAGAATAAAAGGCCGAAAGTTCGAAACCATCTAAAAATGTGCCTCGTTTCGTGAAGAGCCGTCATTGGCTCGGTTGGGGGAATTGCAGACGATATGTCTTTAATTCTATTTGGGATTGAACGAAGATATTATTGGAACAAGTAAGAGAGCTCAAGAAGCTATAGGAAAATTTGTTCTTAGCATATGAAGATGCATTTTACATTTGATACGAACGGTTAGTAAAAGTTAGATGTGGTATTTTACATGCTTTTACATCTTACACTATTTGCGATTGGGATAAGGAATGACTTAAAAAAGCCTTACCCTTTATTACGAAAGTCAGTAAATACTAAATCGGTTTCTGAATAGATTTTTCCCTTGTCTCTTGAATCTATCTATCAATTTATTTCTTTCTAACGATTAAAAATGTGAATGAACTAATTGATCGATAATTTAGGCGGCTGTTAGCAAATCTGATCTAAGCCCTAATATCGAATTGGCAAAGGCTATACAACTTTGAATAGAGTAGTGACTCGTAATGAATGCTTTAATAAACACGATCTATTTTCGATGTTATATAAGCGTCGCGTTCGGATCGTTAAATTATTAAGTGGTAATATTGATTTCCCGAAATACTTCTTTAGGCCCTTTATCTTCATAAAGCTTAGTCAATGTAAATATAATATCATTACGACCAATGGTTAATAAGAAATTTGGAAGAATTGCTACAATTTATCTGATCATCTTCATAGAAATTTAACCTCCTTTGAATGAAAGAAGTCTTGGATTATTTGCACACAGTTGGACCGAGTTCCTATCCGTTGCGGTAGCAACTGAATAAATAAAAATGAACGGTTTTTCAAGAGATTGATTAAGGACGATAGACAAAGGCTTAGGTGCGACGATGAGGCGTGGTTGTAGACGAATGAATTTGCACAAACGGTAACCAAGTTGATTGGCGCCAAACAAGAAAGTACGTTAGTTTTGATAGGATCTAAAAAAATGCTCCGCTTTTCTGCCAGCAAATAAGACATTTTAGGAGACAATTTGAAGCAAAGCACGTTGGTATTATTTGTCAATAGGAAAAGTGTTGTCATAAATCAGGAGATAATGTCAAACGACACTATATATTTTTGATGATTAGGCAGAAACTTAGGGAGCTTGGCTTGATGTGTCCAACGACTTTGTTCGAGTAGTTTCTGTAAAACCGATTTCACAGATTGTGAAACGGTGATTGGTTCACTTTCCAGGCAAGAAGTATCATCAAGATGACATAATCGTCCCACTAGAGAAGGAGCAAATGGTTAAACTGGCATGCATTTGCTTTAATGAACTTCGCTTAAGTGGGTTGAAATTCTGATGAAGAAAAGCGAAAATTTTTATTTTTGTTTACCATAACAACTTTCCGGGATATGGATGGCTAACGTAAAAATAGTATGAAGCAATTCATCTTCAAGAGGCTACGATCAAATTTCATAGAAAAATATGTCGATCTAAAACATAAAAATTCGTGGATGGACAGGTGGACACACAAGCTTAAATTGATTCAGAAAATGCTTATGATCGATATGTTAAAAGGCGAATCAATTTTTAGTACTAAGGTAAGGTAGTTAGGAACATCTACATAATCTACCATCTACTTAATATATCTCGTGTAGGGTCTAAACCACAATCCCACTGTACGTATAAAGGAAACGATACGTTTAGCTAACAGTATTCTTTATTAGAACAGTTTCTTTAATCGTAGTCTAAAAAAATGTCTCTCTTCTACTTATTGGGCTTAATGTCTATAGCAAAAATCAATATTATATATATGTGCGAATAAAAAAAGAAGAGAAAAAAAAAAAATCTTATAAAAAAAGGGTACATTCAACCAACAAATTTTGATTAAGAAATTCTCGCACATACTTAGCGTATACATATCGCGTACCTTTTAGTATAAAAATATCATCACCATTTTGTTGTTATTGTTGTTGTTGTTGTTATTATTGATGTTATCGCTTGCATTGAATAATATAATAATAACGTTAATGATGACGTTATAAACATATTATATATGCATGCGTGGAAGTAAGGAGACGATCGTGTGTAGACTCATAGCTATTAAAATTCCAAACATATACTCGATTGACGAAAAAAGAAAACCAATTGTTCTTAATCAAGGAGACCTTTTGCTTTAAATTATTCTCTTTACATAAACACATATACTTATTTAAATATTAATGTTGATAACCAAAAATATATTAAAAAAAAAAAAAAAAAATATATATATATATATATATATATAAAAAGTTCATAAATTAAAAAGTGATGAGAACGAGGACAAGTAAGAAAAATTAAAATTTTTGAACTCACGTTGCAAACAAAAGGCGCTGAGGAGATTTTATAAGCTTTCTACACTTAATTTGATTAACCGTTTGCCGTTTGCACGATTTCAACTTACAAAAAAAAAAAAAAAACAAAGACAGTTTTTTCTAATATTTGGTTTTTATTATTTAGTTGATGACTCATTTCGTTCGTTTTGGTTCACGCAATAAAAGTCACTTGCATTAGTATTCAGCATTCAAATCCAAATTCAAGTAACTAGTTTTTTATAGCATTATGTAATAATTTGTTGCTGATAGAGTTGTTGTTGTTGTTGTTGTTGTTGTAGTATTAGTTTTATTTATTTATTTTTTTTTAACATCTGACTTTGGGATTTTCTACTTTCCACCGAGGGATGAGGGTGTATTAGATTTGTCCTTTCTTTCGTAGCATTGACTAATATGCGTCGAAGATTTCAT